TTTTTTATAAGAATAAATTTATCGATCTTAAATAATTATATATATTCTAATTACTAATTAAAGATATTCTTAAAATTATCTATAAGAACGATTACTTAGATTTCGAAAGATCTTTCGATATAATCTCTAAATTATAATATATATAAAAATTATCTAAGTACCTTTATAGCTATATTAAATATTATTCTAAGTATTTAATATTATAGACTTATCGCTATAAGTCTTATAATTATCTATAATCTATAAAGAGTTTTACTTTATCTTTTTACATTTTAATACTTAAATTTATTTTTACTATATTATTATTTAATAAGAAATTTAATTATATGATAATTATTATAGATAAGTTTATAAAGCGAACTACTTATATCTCTAAAAAATCTATTTAAAGTATTAAAGAGTAAGTTATTATTTTACTAGATTATCTCGATATAGAATTATAGATAATTAGAGAATATTAAAGATCTTACTATTTAATAGAGATCTCAAATTTTTATTAGAGTTATAAAAAGCTATATTTAATAGATTAGAAGTTAAACTACTATATTCTACGACTTATTATCTCTAAATAGATAATAGTAATAAACGCATTAATTAGACGACTAAAATTACTTTATATTTCTATCTATATATCTTAAAGAAGCCTTTAATATAACTTATTATTCTTTTATATATATAAGTACTTCTTAATAATATATAATCGACTACTATAATTAAGTTATCGAATAAGCTCTCTTATAAGTTCTCTCTTAATAAAACTTTTAATTTTATTATATTATTCGAACTACTATAGTAGATATATATTATTATTAAGATTAAAGCTATCGATATAATAAGCTTTATCTAAATATCTTAGAAATTCTACTATAATTATAAGTATTAGCTTATATACTTTAGAAAGAGAGATAAGATACTCTTACGCTTATATAAAAACTACTTTATTCTATAATCTATTAATATTACTAAAATAAATAAGATTAATTAATATTATATCGATTTTTTTAAAGTTATTATTAAGATAGATAAGTAAGCTTATTATCTCGATATATCTAGTTATTAAAAAGTTTATTCTATATTCTCGATAGTATAGCTAGAATTATATATCAAATAAAATAAATTATAAATTGAGTCTATATAAACACATTAGTAAATAGTCTATTAAAGACTTTACTTATATCTAATCTTTTATAGTTCTATTAGTTAGTAACTTAAAAATTTTAATAACTTAAAAATTTCGTAAACCAATATACCTAAGTACATTCATATATAAGATATTAATATATATATTATTAATAACGTATTATTATACGCTATATTAGAGATATCACGCGACTAATTTTATTAAATACTAATTTCGTAGTTAAATTTAAGTTAATATAATATTTATTATCGAGAACCTACGTCGAACGTCGATTATAAACTCTTTTTTATATATATACTACTAAATTAGTAGAACAGCAAAAGATTAAAATAGTTATAATCGGCGGAATTAGATAGATTCTAATAGATTTACTAATTCGGCGGATTTGTAATTTCCGCGACAAACGCGCGATCAGCAATTTAAATTTTGTAGAAACTTTAGATTGCAGATGTAGCCCGCTAATATTAATTCTTTTTATAAATTACTATTAAAGAAGTTTAATTCTATTTACGTAAAAGGCGATATTAAGAATTATAAGTTATATAAGCTATAATTCTTACTTAATAAGCGTATTAGACGTTATAATAAGAGTTAGTTAATTAAATATCTAATATATTAGAAAGAATATAGCTCTAAGTACGATTAATAGTATAATATTAAGTATCTAGACGATACTTCGAAATTAATAAGAGACTATGAGACCGCTATATCGAGAGACTACGAGATCGATATATCTCTATCTTCGCTATTACCTCCGCTATCATTATTATCTTCGCTATTAACGATCTTATAAAAGCCTTCCGCTATTATATTATTACTACCTTTACTATTATTATAGAAGCCTTTTATAATCGAATCTTCGAAGTCTACTACGGCTATTGCGATTATAATATCGAGAAGAAAGAAATTAACTATATAAGAGCTTACTACCTATATTTACTACTTAATAATAACTTCTTTACTTATATACTTCTTACTTATATATATATCGAGATCGCTATAAGCTTTTTTATTAATAATATATTATTATAATAAGCTATCGTAACTATATAGATATATAGTTTTATTTATCTTCGTATCTACTAAGGAGGTATCTTAGTAAGAACCTTAGCTTAGTATAATAAGTAGTTACTTCTTAGTAGAAGAATAATTATCTTTATTATATATTACTCTTATATCTATATTTTCATATTACTCTTATAAAAAGTCTAAATATTAATCTAAATTAAGCTAGAAGATTAAGAGTCGTTTCATATATAATTTAATACTTAAATTTTTCTCTTTTAGTTAATAAATAAGTATATAATTAATATATTTAAAAAGATTATAGACTATTCTAGATAGTAATAAACGAAGAATAGACTATTAATGAAGAATTATGATATTTACATATAGAAATTTAATAGAGAAAAATCGTAATCTTCATTTAGTTAGTATTTAGGCTTTTCTATTATTCGCGTAACTCTCTATAAACTTATTATTAATATAATTTCTCTTTTTTTTTTTTTTTTTTTTTTTACAAATTATAGAATATAACTTACGCTTTTAAATAATTTAAAATTTATAAATTTCGATTTTATACTTCTAAGTAAATCTTCAATTAAAGTATAAATTAATTACTTATTATGAATTTAATTCATAGGCCTTTACTCGTACAGTAATAATACAGTAATGGTCTCCACGAGTTGGACAGCTTCAGATGTTCTAGAGCACGGCTTATAAAATCATTCATTCTCATCCTCATCATCATCCTTAGAGACCTATGACACAGCCTGACACGCCAATGACAGTCCACTCATTAGGACTGTGTATATGTACTCTCGCAGCATCCTGCGTCCTCTCTCTATAAGACTCCAACACCATCCCGCTATTTCGCGGTCTCGATCTGTCTCTAGGATTTCCGCTTCGCCGCATACCGCCTGGAGACAACCGTATCACACTCTTCTCGAGTGCCGTTGGCGCATCGTGCAAAGCGGCCTCTCCGGCCCAACGACCGTTATCCTTCTTCTAGCAAGTCTAGTCGGCGGATTTGTCTACCTATACCAGCCTACAAAACCCCCAGAGCACGAAGACTCTTTCGAGGGTACAGAGGACTACAAAGAGACGGAGGAATACGCAATCATGCCTGGCGCTGCACTCCCGGGGAGACCCGGCAACCTCACGAAGGAACAGGAACTCAGATTACAGGAGATGTGGACTGCGACATTGAAAGTCTTCGGCGTGTCTGGCTTCAACGATGGTACCAACGGTGATGCCGTATCAATAACGGGGTCCGAAACTGCTGAGCAGGCCGGGACGGTTGGCTCAGAAAAGAAGAAGAAGAAGCGCGTGAACTTGTTCAGCAGGAAACAACATGATGACGTTGGTACCGAGGACGCTAAAAGTGTGTCTGCTACAGATGCAAACGACAAATATGGTCAGGCAAAGGAATTCCACAAAGTTCTCGAAAGTCAGTCTCCAGAAGCTATACGTACGGCTTTCTGGAGTATGGTCAAGCATGATGATCCTGATGGCTTGCTGCTGAGGTTTCTTCGGGCGCGCAAATGGAATGTGCAAAACGCTCTGATAATGTTAATTTCTACAATGCACTGGCGAATGCAAGAAATGCATGTAGACGACGACATAGTAAGAAGGGGAGAGGCCGGCGCCTTGGACGATAGCATTAACTCAAACAGCCCAACCAAGAAAGAAGGCCATGATTTTCTGACGCAAATGAGGCTGGGAAAGAGTTTTTTGCATGGCACAGACAAAGAGGGAAGGCCACTCACCTTTGTGAGGGTGAAGTTGCACAAACAAGGAGAGCAGAGTGAAGCTAGCCTCGAGAGGTTTACGGTGTACACGATTGAGACTGCTAGATTGCTCCTTTCTCCTAACGTGGACACTGCAGTGAGTATCTCAATATCGAATTGTTGGCCGAGTTCTGAACATTAGTGCTAGGCCATCATCTTTGACATGACGGATTTTTCCATGGCGAATCTGGTATGTTGGTCCCTTTCGAAGTAGCCGTTTCTTGTGTTGACTTAGCCATCAGGATTACGGCCCCGTGAAGTTCATGATCAAGGTTTTTGAGGCGAACTACCCAGAAAGTCTAGGAGTTGTTCTGGTGCATAAGTCGCCTTGGATGTTCCAGGGTAAGCTGTCATCAAGACCAGCCAAGGGACGACGCAACATGCTAATTGTGCAGGCGTTTGGAAATTGATCAGGGGCTGGCTAGACCCAGTGGTAGCGGGCAAAGTCCATTTCACCAAGAACGTCGAGGAGCTAGCAGAGTTTGTCGAGCGAAGCCATATTATCAGGGAACTAGGAGGAGACGACCCGTGGACCTACCAATATGTTGAGCCAGTCGCTGGAGAAAACAAGCTACAGTCAGACGGTGTAACAAGACAGCGTCTGCTGGACGAGCGAGCTGCAGTGGTCAAGGACTACGAGGCCACAACGCAGCAATGGATCCGTGATCCTAATTCGACGCATGCGCTGCAACAGAGAAGATCCGAGCTGACCAAACGATTACGAACTGGTTACTGGGAGCTCGATCCGTATCTGAGGGCAAGGACTTTGTACGATCGTACTGGTATAATCAGAGAGGGTGGGCAGATCCAGTACTACGGGTCTCCCAACAGCGCTACTGGTTCAAATGCTGGCCATCATTCGATTCAGAACGGCCCACTTCCTCCAGAACACCGAGCGGATGAGCTGGACTAGTATGGTCGAGGGGATTTCTGTATGCCCTAGAAGTAACGGGTGGCTATGGAGTGAGATCCGATGTTGTACGAAGCCATGATTCAATACGGTCACGGTCACCGTCATGCCCGACCTCTCATGCTGTACATACTACACGTTCCAATCTTTAATCAGTATTCTACATTTTCGCCTGGACCTCTTTGAAATACGTCTTTAGCATTTCCATGTTTGTTTCTGATGCTGGCCAGCCAATACCCAACCCTTCCTGCTGGTTCGGTTTGGGTATCTGATCTTCGTTAGACGTATTCACGGTGGAATCTGCCACCAGGACTCGTCTGCATACCATGTGGAAGTGAACCTCCAATGACGAAAAGTCAGTACATCGACTGGAAGTTAACGCAAGGAGCATAGTGATGGAAACATATTACGTGGTCAACCTCTTGATGCGCCAATCGCCCATTATTCTGTAGGATATTGTAGTTCTCGGAGCCCGTCGCCTTCGCCAGCTTTTTAGCTACGGGCTGTACACCAGGTCAGCGTTCGCATGTCTCACGTCGCTGCACCCAAGGCTCGAAGGAAAGGCTTTCGGGGGGGGGGGAAGGGGGGTCCCATACTAAGATCTCTTCCAACTGATCGTCTGGAATATCCGTAAGCTTCGAACCATGGGCTTTCGGCACGACAAGCTGCACACACGGCCGACATCAGCTCAACCTGCATAAGCGATCCCGGGAGCATAGCAAAGTGTAGACGAACAGCATGGCCTTGGCTCAATGGTTGGATATCAAGGAAGGCGAACACTCGCTCGCTTTCAAAGAGCGTGAATGAGGGGATGTCGCCTTTCGGCCTGTCAGTCAGATTCCTTCAGAGGGTGATAGAGGTGATATGGAAGACAGGAGACCTTTGATGATCTTGCAGAAGATACAGGCGGCCATTGTTGTAGATGTGGTGTCAGAAAGCAGAGTGAACGAGGGATCAGTGCCGCTTTGCTTGGCATATGCCGAAAGCGGGGAAGGGCTCAAGAACGAGAGTTCGCGTGCTTTTTCGTGTTCTGGCGTGATGGACGCGTGCTTCCACTCCTTCCAGTGAACTGGAAGAATTATCGATACTCGGTTTGATTTCCCACTGAGCCATGGCTATCAGTAGCTTCACCGCTACAGAACTTTTACGAATACGGACTTGATCTCGTGAGCGTGAAAGTAAGCCACATAAAGTAGCAAATCCCATTTCCGAAATGGCAACGAGTCCTGCAGTGTACCTCTTCGTTGTCCATCGCAAGAACACCCTTGCACCATTCCGTCGACTTGACCCACGATTTCATTACAGGAGCTTTCACCACCCCTGTGCCTTGCCTTTTGATCAGGATGTACTTTTCAAGATGTACTTTTTAAGAGACCAGCTCTCCACCCAGTTCCATACCAAGGCCGTTTTCTTTGTTAATAGATCCTCGCCCAATGTTGCTGAGATTCGGACTTCCGCCTGGGGGCACCAGGCTGTCGAAATTCAGTCTTCGCCTGGCTTCTATCGCTGCCAGAGGTGTCTTGGGCAAGCCAGGGGTGCGACTTCCAAGAAAAGCGCCCTGGGCTGGACTTGGAGTGACGTTGACGAAGTCTGCGAAGTTGAACTGCTGGCCAGGGGTATTGAAGTCACCCATACCTGGCGTAGACATCATGGACGAAGGAAGTGCTTGATTTTTAGAGGGTGGCGTTGAGGGAGCGAATACTCGAGACGATTTAGCACCTGGATTCGCAGGCGAGGGTGATGTGGCAAGGTATAGGAGTAAGTCCGCCCCTTCCTCGCCGGCCGCATTACCCTTGCGCTGGCGCGCAGCGCGGCTTCTGGTGGGAGGAGGTGTGCGAGGAGGTGAAGAACGATAGGCCGATGAACTTGTCCGATGTGAACGTGTTGGCAGATCAGCGTCCTCTTCCTCAGAGACGTGGCCGAAAGGAGGCGAGCCGGGAACAGTGGACACCTTGGATGTAAATGATAGGCTCGGGCCATGAGAGCTCGAAAAGTGGTGGTAAGAGTCTCGGCGATGATAGACTGGGGACGACTCTGGCAGATCATGAGAGCTTTTCCAAGATGACCGAGATGTCTCGAACTGGGGCGGTGCCATAGAAAGCGATCTCATCCGTTTCTGAGGTTTCATTGCAAGGTCAATGGCCGTAGACTGATAGATGTTCCTCTTTCGAGATGTTTTGCTGTGTCCGGAGCTACGGATATCGTCCGAAAACATGGGGCCGGTCAGGGGTGACGAAGCAAGACCACTAGAGAAGATTTGATGGTCTGAGGAGCTCGAGGAAGAATTCGAGGACGTTTCAATACTCGAGCCGGGTCTCTTCCGCTTCACAGTCTGTTCAAGGCGGGCTTCAACGTCGTTGAAGCTGAGACTCTCTTGGCCGTGCTGGGCTTTGTAGCTGGCCAGAGCAAGACGATCCTGTAACTTTCTAGCGATCTAGTGTAGGTGGATTTAGCCACATGTTCTGGCTATCAGGTATGGAGATGATTGTAAGAGACTGCGGCTCTACCTTTGCTACCTCTGCCCTCCTCAGAACCTTGGATACGACCTCTGTGGGAGGAGTTTGCCGAAAAGTTGCCGACATTGTGATTGTGGAAGTGAGAGCAAGGCTGAGAGGTGGGAATGACAAGTGTGAAGTGTTGTGTGATAGGCAATGGAGTAAGAAGTTATGGAAGAAAGTAGAAAGTCGAGGGCGGGTATCTAGTCGAAGGAATCAGGCCGGCCGTTCTGGAATCAGCACCCGGCACTCGACACTCTGGAAAGATGCAGCCGCGGTCACTTTTCTGGTCTGAGGAAGAGAAAGAAAGCAGAGGTAGGAGTTTGAAGTGAAGATGGGAAGGATTGACGGTGAGTTGCTGTTCTGTATTCAATGTAATTTAATACGGGGTAAGCCTACTTGGTAAATTATGTAGGTACATACTCTAAGACCAGGAGGAGGTTGGCATTGGGCGTGGACATAAATTAATGCATTTCATAAAAGCGACACGCGCCTCGAAGAGAATTGACCAGTGAAATTGCTTGAAGTTAAGAAAATTCCCGGCTATGCCTCGGCCAGTCAAATTCATGATGACTTGATATGTAAGAAAGTACCTACATTTAGCCGTGCCGGTATATCAAGATAGGTATGTACATTACAGTAAAGTACTGACGAGTGACACGGTTGAAGATGCATCCTGCGTAGAAGAAGGGAACAATCAATAGATATATCTATGGGTATAGGCTGCCTTGCTGCATTGCTGCATTGTATCTCCCTAAATTTGGAAGGGAATGACAGGATAGGGCTAGTGGTAGATAGTGAGAGAGTTGAGAGTTCATCATCGGCATTGATGAATGATGATTTAGGCCATGGCTCCGGCGGCAAGGCTAGCTAGGTAACTACCTTACCTTAGCTGCCTTACCATACCTTACCTTACCTTAGTGCTACTGCTAGTCTGCTACAGCCTACCTGACTGGTATAGAGAGAGACTGAGAGTAGAGTACATCCATCGTTCTTGCCTTATTTTCCTTGGAAGGTTTACCTCACAGTCTTTCCATTTTGGCTCTTGGCAGCATTTCTTCCTCTTCCTCTTCCTCTTCCTCTGCTTCTTCTTCAAGCCTTCCTTGTCGTTGAGCTTCAATCTTGGGTTTCATTGGCACACTCAAATCACTCGTTTCAAGAACGCCTAGCATCTCTCGGCATGAGCTCCACATTCACCAATTCCACTATACACTCTTCTCCATGAACCCGCTCGTTATCTGGAGGCAAATAGAGACACACATCCTCTTTGGATAGTACGCGACATATTTACAGCCTAGAATGCCTTTCTTCAAGGAATTTCGGCGCAAGAAGACAACCTCTAAGACAGACATATCCCCAAACAGCTCCAACGAATCAAACGGTTCCAATGGCACCAATGGCACCGTTCCAACCACCAAATCCTCCTCCACTATAAACTCCGTCTATGCCTCCTCCACACCCCCTTCTTCAATACAACCACACCAATCCACTCCAACCCTTGTCACGAGCAAGTCCACCGGCGCAATGACACCATTGCCTCAAAGGCCAATGCCCTTAAGCTCAGTGAGCAACAGAAGCAGTTTCATGGTACGCCTGCTTCCGTTCGGCAACAAATATTTCACTCAGATGTTGGACGATTCGAGAGAAGCCGAAGAGTGGTGCTGACGTGTCCGTTGCATAGGGACTGAGCACTCCATCCATCAATGGAACCACTACACTCAAGATGCCAGTTTCAAGCTTTGCGCCCCGGATATTATCCGTTTCCGACAACTCCTGGGTGGGTGCACTCTGCTAGCAAGACTGAGCACAGTCTGTGAGCTTCGCTAAAAATGCTTGGACAGGTACACCAAAAAGTGCTCCTCGTGTATGGTCAAATAGGTGACCCTTCGGAAAAGACGCTCGACGGTACTTTGACGGTGTGCCATCATCAAGATAGTTTCCCGGCAACGATGTGGCCCGTTAGCGATTCCCACTTCAAAGCTTTGGTCCATTTATCCCCTGGTCCCAATCGATTACGTTTTGACTTTATGTCTCCAAAAGTAGCTTCCAACAACTCCTCTCTACCCGCACATTCGTCTTGGATCAACGTCAACTTCCTTCCGTTGATCAATTCACCACCGCTCCAACTTGTTATACTGCTAGGAAAGGACTCTCCAGCCACTTTCGACGCCGTGCCGGAGCGAAAGCAGAGAGAAGGGAATGATTTGGACATAGCGGTCCGGAAGTTCCGTATGGCGGCATACTTATGGCAAGCGTTCACTGGAGAACAGATGTACCGCAACGGCTTCGGAAGGAGATGCTTTCGATTTGAGGAAGAATGGCAGACTGGATCCTTGACCTTTCGAGACAAAGAGATGGGACAGATGAGGAATGAAGCAAAGGTGCATGTCGTGAGAACAGAAAAGACGGTGAAAGAGCTTCGGGATTTAGATCTTGCACAACAGTATGACAATGCAACTCACAAGGGTGAGCTCTACAGCATTGCGATGGAAGCAGTCAAAGAGCATTTCAACCCCGTCAAAGGGCAAATGCAGTTCATCTCGCTATTGTTGCTTGATGCGCACTGGGATACGAAAGCAAAGACCATCACCGGTCATGCAGCTCTTGGTGGAGGCACTGGCGAGGTGCAGCTCGCAATCTTCGGCTCTCAAGCTCTTCAGAGCTATCCTGCAAGCATTGAGGAGGTAGTCCCTGCTTTCTCTGACTGCACTAGAACAAATACCAACTTTGTTGCGAACGATTGCAACGAATCAGGGAGCAATTGGGAGGCCGCAAACATAGGAATAGGTGCTCACCTTCACGAGACCGGTCACTTGTTCGGCTGCCCTCATCAAGAGTCTGGCATCATGCTGCGGGATTACGTGCGCCTAAATCGAACTTTCCTGTGCAGAGAACCATATTCGACTCGAACGAAATCACCGGGTGTACGACTGTGTCTGCCAAAAGACGAGTGCGGTTGGCACAGGCTTGATGCACTACGCTTCAAGTACCATCCATGCTTTCGATTACCAACAGACGGGCCGCTCAATCCCGACGAGAGCATCCAAGTATGGCCTGCTGATAATGGGAAAGCTCTCATCACGGCCCCCACCGGTGTCTCTTTTGTCGAAATCTTTACTGAGGGTGACGAGACTTGTCGTGCTTGGCTCGAGTACAGTAGTGGCGATGTTCAGTCAGTCGGTCCGCCGCGACAGATCGTGCTTACCGAAAATGATCTAAAAGCTCGGTTGCCAGAGGACAGGAAGAACAGCAAGAAATTAAGGATCAAGATCTATTCTGCCGGGCAAGGAAGCCATGAAGTTGTCGATTTTAATACGCTCTTGAGGTCAAAAAACCACGTGGTGAAGCTACCAAATGGGCAATTGGGATTCAAGGGTTGCAAGTTAGGGGAGTCTGGGCAGGAAGGCAGTCAACCTGAGCAGGTCATACTCGAAACAGCTCATTTACAAAACAAGCTACTCACATCGATCAAAGTATATCACGGCTTTGCATTAGATGGCTTGGAGTTCTTGTACGAAGATTCAACAAGCCAACTGTTTGGAAAAAGAGGAGGCCAGCCGGGCGGCAGCGAATTCATGTTTGGTACGTTCAAAGCGCACACCGACTTGTTGCAACCAAAAGTTCTTATCAGTCTTAGATACACGACGAGGCGAAATCTTGCTGGGTTTTTATCTGCGAGCTGGACTCTGGATCGACGGCATTGAAATACTGACAAGCCTAGGCAGACGATCAGGTATTTTTGGTAATCCAAACGGTGGATCTGGGTATGTCTCGTCTGCCCGCACTATGTCTATATCCGAGCACGCCTGTTGATTGATCCGTGAACAGGCACACCCTAATACCACCTCGAGGATACTGCATCGCAGGTGTATCCGGCTCGTGCGGTCAATGGGTGGACGGTTTTTCGCTCATCATCACTCGGTAGTAATCCGACCATAAGCATTGGCGAGAATCTGCACAGCATGTTTCGCTTCGGCCTCTTTCATTGTCTTCAATCGACCCTTCAAAGGCAAATATGGACGCATTGCGTGGGTCTCTTTCTGTTGACCACTGGGCACGAGGTCAGAAGTTGAGAAAACCATAATAATAATAGCATTTGCCAGCCAAGGTGAGGGCTCTTGGAGTCGAAAACCAAGGGTATCTATGGCTGAGCGTACGAAGCATGAAGATGTCGCTTCTGCTACGAAAGACAGCTGGTGACGGGGCCCAGAGGAGGCACGATGAAAACATAGCATGGAGTGACAGGATTTAGACAGCGAAGCTTGAACGCTTATAGAATAATGAAGTAATTTGATACCCAAGCGCTCGGTCCTTGACGATTGCGTTGACCCCACGGGTGACCTGGATAGGATGTTTGACATTCCTTCACGGATATGGCTACTCCGTCATGGCCTTTTCATCAGCGTTGACGGGTTCGAAGGGACCACAAAGTAGCTTCTTTTGAGAGGATCTGATTTGTCCTGCCGATGAAGGAAGCGGAAGACCATCCGCCGATCAACCGAAGACGCTCTGCCATGGGGCTAGAATCTCCCGTTGTACTCAGGCCAGCTATAGCTATACTGTGCTGCAATGGTACCCAAGTCATCATGTCAATCCACAAGTCTGGCCCGGGAGATATAACCGCGATCGGCATGCTATGAGTGTGTTGAACTTTGGACCAATAATATCATGAAGCGTATGATTTAAATCCGTCCGCCGGAAAGCCGAGCCACACAGCCACAGCCAGCAGAGGAGTTGAAAATAATCAAGTACTACCGTAGTATCTCCGACGCGCCGAGGGGACCCTGGAAGTCTCGACACGTTCCAGAGGATAATGATCGGCGGTCTAAGCCACACTCTCCACGAGGACCTCATGACCGGGGGCAAGAGAATGAACGCCACAGCTAAGGGGTCCCTGCGGGTCCAGCGCTTGTACTCTATAGTACGAGTACTCATAGAGTCGAGGCTTTCCGGAGATGCTGTCGAAAGACTGCGTGCAATGCATGGGTGCACATGGTATCACTTCTCAGCGCTGTTCATCATGCCAGCATCAGCCGAGCACTTCGGTCAAGCCGTTGTGCCCTGGTATGCGCGCTTTCCTCCTTTCTCCTTCTCCCCGTCTAGGAGTAGAGCGGTGCGATTGACTTTTGCGCTTTGCAGATCGAAGCTATCCTTGTGATCCAATCCGTAATAGAACCGTGGTTTCGCCTGATCACTTGGTCTAGAGTACTGGACGGCACTGGTCATGTTGCAAATTAATCTTCGACTGAACTTGGGTCTGAGAGGCAATGAATTTGTATAGTGCCTGCGTCGATATTCGAGCGGCTAACTTTGGGTATCTTTAAAACAGTCGAGGAACACGTCAAGATGAATAAATACATTGTGTGCGTCAAGGATTATACCAATGGCAATGGTAGCACGAAGAGTAGCTTCCCGCATGTTCATCATAATCATCAACACAAGGACTCGTGTATCGTCTTGCGCTGAACTGTCGGGGGGATTGAAAAAAGAATGCTCGCGTAATGGATACCAATCTAGGGCAAGTAGTAGCGGCTAGTAGCACACCGCTCCAGGAACTGTTAGACACAGGGTTGTACAGCAATGAGTCGATGCTTTCATCTGGCATTTCTTCAGCAGAGTATGCTGACAGCACAAATTTTTGGGAACCAGCGTTGAGCCGTAGGCTAAGGCGATTTATCGTAGACGTCGTAATGCGAATTGGGGTATCATTCAAAATGAGGTCGAGGCGCAGATTGTGTATCCTAGAATAGAAGTCTCATTTCCAGAGCCGCACTGCTGGTGCTCTTGGTAGGTGTTTGAGTCGCTTTGGGAGTACTCGCACCGGAGCCTGCTTCCTGCTTGAAGGCGGTGCTGGCGTTCACTTGGGCAAATTCGACAATCATGTCCTGGCCTTCTGGGAGTTCTCCAACGACCTCATCGTCGACCATAATCTTGAGTCCTCTTGAATTGACTCTCAATGTTCGTGTGACATGTCGAGGGTCGACTCCGCACTTCATGGCAATGCTCGTAATAAGGTCTTTGACTGTCCTTTCCATGAGGTAGACTGCCCTGTAGTAGTCCTCTCCGGCGGTATCACCGATCACTTTGATGAGAACATAAAAGCAAGCGATAGGCTTGATCGGCTTTTCAGCCGGGGCTTTGTAGGAGGGGTCAACTTCAAACGCTTCAATCCAATTCGACATCGACTCGTCAGTGTGCCCTTTTGGCACCTTGATTGCCGTGTTCGAAGATGGAAATCCTGAGAAGTTCGTGCTTGTGAATTGATGTCGAACAAGTTGTTGTTCCCACTCATTCGGCAGCTGCTGGTTTGAATTGAAGGGCGCAGGCTTTTGAAAGCTTGATGGCTCACAAGGCCGTGAATCGGATGGCATAGACCGTGAACTTGGCGAAGGCGAGGCTATGTAAGAGTTGGTGGGTGTCGACTCGCTGAGAGCCTTGCGGTCAGATTGGCCGACTTTGGTCAAGTCTATGGGCTCCCCCGGTAAGGACACTGGGAAGACGTCTGGATCATCTTGCTCATACCCTTTCAGATAGAGTACGCTGACCGGACGAGTCGAAGTGAACATGTCTTGCATCGTCGCAAGCTTCATGTGAAGGTCTTCCTCGACAGGGGGCCGACCATTAGATCCCTGAGATGAGACAGACCAGGTCCTTTTGTGCTTTTGAACTTTGCCAGCTCGATGACTGCCACCTTTGTCGGCGCCACTCCTTTTACGCTTTCCAAGGTCTTTCAGCCCATTCTCAGCCTGAGTGATCTGCTGATTCAACTTGTCGATAGTCTTCTTGATATGCGCAACATCATTCGAAAGCTTTCGTTCTGCGCCGTGATCTCGGAACAGCTTGACTTTGCAGAAGCAGACTTCCGCAGTCGGGGCAGGGGGGGAATCTGGAGTACCAGAAGAGATGATTTCGGTCTTTGCACATAGGCGAACGGGAATGCCTTTGACACCTTTGGAGTGGCTGAAGTCGGTCGACAAGAAATTGAAACGAACGGCTACCGAGCAGTCTGCGCTGCTTGAGCCTGCTGAAGGAGTCCAGGTCACGGAAAAGCAGTCGAAAGAGGCCGCCTCCAGCTCGACACGCGGTCGTTTGGTCTCTTCGTCGCCCCCTTGATTTGGATCAACATACTCCACTGCTTGAAGCTTTCCACCCCTCAGATGAGATTCGGCCAAACCTCGTCCTTCCTTCCACAATTGCCAGCAAGCCGAAGGCCGCTGTCTTTGCTGTTCATCTTCAAATGATATACGGATGACGGTTCGATATTTAATCGGGCCAGCTGCAGGGCCGAGACCCATACTATCGCTTATGGACACCGCATATGCTTGGCCTTTGTTGAGGTAGGTGACAGGAATCTCGTCCGAGTCTTTGATCATCGCTGTAGGCGCGTTGAGAGTGACACGATAACGGAAACTGAAAACGGTTTAAACGTTAGTCGATGCATGATGGAATGGGAATCAAGTCGCTTACCTTTCCATTGCTGGCACAGGATGCGCTTGCACGCTGTCCGACTGTCTTGCTGGAAATCCCATAAATGTTGACTGCCTCGGTAGCTCTTCGTCAATGCCTGATCTTTGAGCAGGCATAGCGTGGTTAGGGTGTTCCATCGTGTCATACCCCGAGTCTTGGTGTATGAAAGAACTAGGCGCGTATGATTGTTGCGGTGTGAACCGGCTGGGGTTTTGAAACGGCTGCGAGTGGAGTAGGTGGGTATGGAAACCGTGCATGTCTATTGCGGCTGTTGCATCACTTTGGCCTGCGGAATTAGGGACTGAGAGAGGTGTCCCCAACTGGAATCCCATACCTGGAGTGTGCAAGTCACCTGCCTGATTGTTGTGGAAGACAGTGTTCGTGCCTCCAGGAGTCGAACCGAAATCGCTGGATTGGTGGTTTGCGAAGGAAGCAAAGGCGAAGGAATTGGTATCAAGGATGGATGGAGTAAACCTCCAATCGTCGGGCTCGCCAAAACCTGAGTCTTGGTCTTTGCTTGTGTCTTGATCGCCGAATTGTCTGCGACAAAGGTAATAAGCAGGTTGTTAGTCGACTGGTCCATAGTGTAGCGGAAAGAGCGGGCCCAACGGTAAGAAAGAACAATGACACGAGGCTCAAAACATTCCATGAGATGACCGAATGAGATTAATCGTCGCACCTCTGATCCATTGTTTGGTCCATTGATGTGCTCGTGAGTGAGGTTGAGGTCTCTAGCGTAGAGTTTGAGGATACTGCCCAGGACGGTGTTGTTGCGGCGGGCCCTACATGAGGGAAGCTTTGTTTGAAGGCAGCATAGAGCTCGTTGGCAGGCTTCTGCGAATTCTTGCTACCAAGGGTAGAGAGAGTCAGTATCATGAAGATAGGCGACGAATGACATTGAAGGTTTGAAGATGAGCGAGCAGTCAGGGTACATACCGATTGCGAAACATGGCATGAGGTGACTTGGTTCCTCAAGAGGCTCTTATAAGAGACTCATATAGAAGAAGAAGCAGAAGAAGAGGAAGAAGATGAAGAAGAAGTGGCTGTGCTGGACGCTTTTAGATGTATGCAGGTCACATCCAGTAGAAGGGCGTCGGAGAAGGTAGGGTAAAATAATGGAGTTATGACAGGGACAAGGGGAATTGGGTAAGGACAAGGTATTTAGAAGGAAGTGCGAACCCGGGAGAGTTTGATAGGCCCAGGTAGTGAAGCGTAGTATGCCTTCAAGAGCGTGCGTTGTAATGGACTCGTAAAAGGGATTATACCGTAGCGTCACGTGGAAGCGACGAGAGCTAATTGTAATGCATGCTCGATGGAAACGAGTGCCTGGAGGCTTGACCTGGAGCATAAGCATGGGCATGGGCATGGGCGTGGGCATGGTGAACTCCCGAGCGTCAAAGGTTTTATTAGAGTACGACTACCTTTACCTTACCTTACCTTACAGGAAGATGGTGTGGCTCTAGGATGAGGATTAGTGTCAGAAAAGAAGAAGCAAACTAGCAAACTTGCAGGGAGTTGCGCCACAAGGGGATACACCGGAGCCACTCTCATTCAGCGCTAAAGGAGGTTCTCAATGTAGATCGCAGCATCTCTAGCTTCCTTGTGGTAGTGGGGCTTCTTTTGACTTTTGGGCCAAGGAATTTTCCTCGCTGCTTCCGTCTCTCCTGTGGCTTTCTCCCATCCCCCCCTGCAGCAGAAAACCGTTCATCTTTCCCTTCTCTGGCAACTCCTTCTCTCGCTAAAGCATTGCGACCGTGTGTCGGTGACGACGTGCCTCATCGTTCATGTGGCGCTTCTCTGCAAATCCCTCATCCTCAGCCACACTTCTCTCCCGCTCTGGACCCTGAGACGAGGCGCTTGAGAGTGGTGATGTGGCAGTACTCGGAGGTCACAGGTGAAGCGATTAGTCCCTCTCTGCTGTAGCCGCGTGTCCGATGATAGTACCGGCAGTATTTGGCTCTCGAAATTTGCCAAGCGCCCATAGGTTCGCGAAGCCGAGACACTTTCATAACAATAATAATCATAATAATAATAACAATAATAATGCAGTCCTTTGAACCATTTCAGGGGATTGGCCCCCCCTTCACCAACCTCTAACCGAGATGAGGTGATCCGAATGCGTGCACAACCCCATCTACGACATATTACTATTATTTGACCTGTATATTGTTGTTTCACCCGAACATTCCCATACCCTCCTGCATGGCAAATAGGGCACCGACATAAAATTGGGTTCCATGACAGTGTCGGCGCATACAGAGAGCATGGGCCAATGGAATAACGGAGGTCCCACCCCCCCCAAGCACCCCTGAAGCTGCAGATAGCTGAATCCCGGGTTGTTTTTGCATCACATAGATGTAGCCGGGGGGTCCAACGATCCAGTATCGGTACGGCTTTACTCTTGCGGTCTTGCGTTCGCGTCATGGAACTCTGAGAACATCGTTGCCAAGCTACATCAAAAGGAAGCTCCAAACGCCGATCGTGCTGTCTTTTCGCGGGAAAGCCCTTGGGGAAGCGATCTCAGCCACACTCCGCGTCGTTTCTCCGATTGGAGAAAAGATCGGGAAAATATTTGCACAGCCACAGTACTCTTTAATCGTTTACAGAATCTAGAGCAAAGACGATCACCTTAAAAGAAACAACAGTAGATGTAATAATAATATCCACAGACGATCAGTAGGGAGATCATGAGCCATACCTGGCCGTGAAGGTCGCGAACCTCCAATGATCGCTGCCTCAGCAGTCCCCACAGAGACAATGCAAAGTGGTTCCCCATATCTTTCAAGTATAAGAGTTATCACCGTATAGTCCTGGGGTCTTTCCTTCCGGGGCCAATGAATCACATTCTGGAGGGAATAGTGAAAGCGTTTTATAACCTGCGAGGAGTCATGCATAATATCGGACGACAAGACATGTGAATTTCCGTTCACGAAATAGCGGTATCTGCTTGATTGATGCCAGGTGAAGAAATTATGTGTGGGATGGAAGAGAGCACAAACACTCAAAGGCTCAAAGCGTTGGGGTGACAGAAACAAAGCTGAGGTACCTTCGCAAATAGTCGTGTGTTGCTAGCTAGGTAGCAAGTAGAAGAAGGAAATAATATGTGCTGGGGCGCGGGCTTCCCAGTAGTGAAAAGCTTGCCGAGTACTGGTTTTTGACTGTTTAATTCTCAGGGAGACCCCCTAAAACCCCTCGGACCCTTCGGGGGCTCTTTAAGGGCTCTCCGAGGGCTTCTATCGGAGGGGCTGTCAAAGCAAGCTCGAAATTTGATTATTTTAGTGATATTTGATTGATTTCGAGCTTGCTTTGACAGCCCCTCCGATAGAAGCCCTCGGAGAGCCCTTAAAGAGCTCCGAAGGGTTTAAGGGATTTTAAGGGGTCTAACCCTGAGAATCGAGAGAGATAGTTGATATACTCAGGGGGAGACCCCCTGAAACCCCCCTGACCCTCCGGGGGCTCTCCGAGGGCTCTCCGAGGGCTCCTGCCGGAGGGGCTCTTCTCGCAAGCTCGATAATTTAAATAAAAATCTTAATTTTTAGTATATCTTTACGAATACTTTATCAAATTTCGTTTTCGCTACATTATTTAATAGCGTATAATTAACTCTATAACTCTATAAATTTATTGTATTATCATTTATTACGTAACGTTAAAGGAATTAAATAGAATAAATTAATAAAGTTGATGTTCGAGGTTCAGCCTTATGGTGCTTCCTCTTTTGGACGTACCCGTGTTTAGAACGAAAATGAAGAAATAAGGTGTGTTTTAGACTAGAAATCGTGAAATCCGAGGATCTGATTGGTCACTAGCTTCTTAGCGTAGAAGCCATTTGGGATTTCAAGTCTCGAGCATTGAGAAAGCAAGCTTTGCAATGAAACCGCTCCAAAAGACGAATTAATCGTGAGCCTCAAGCCTCGCGAATCTGTCAATGACGTCCTACTCCAAAAACGAAATGGGATAAGTTACCGTAGGAGCATCGAATGTCGAGCTTGACTCTTTACCTTGAGGCTTTGGCTCTTCGGGATGCAACGAGATCGGACTTGAATTCTCTACAGTTATATTTACGCTCAAAATCACAAGCTGCGCAATCGTGGTTCGATCTTTTCGGCTGGTCTACCATCAGATGCCATTGTGGGGTTCAATCTGCACTGGAGTACTTGCTAAGTACTCAAATGTATTCCTGACTAGTTGTGGCGAAATACTGAGTTGATTATAAAAAAGAGCGATAGGTTAGTAGTTTTCGGAGAGAGAGAGAGAATAATTAAAGGAATTGGGAAGTAGTAGTAGCAAATGTAGACTGTAGAGACGCATCGTGTTGCTATCCAATCCAACGCGAGAATAATGGCTCCACGGGTCATTCAACCCACAACAGACAACAGTGCAGCAGGAAGGTCCACCTGACTAATTCATAGTATTAATAACCTCGCTGGCTATACAGTAGTTTGTCGATACCAAATGCACTGAGGGTTCGAGGTCAAATCACAATTCGATGTGCGAATACCTAAGATTAATCGGTAAGAATAAGATAAAAAATCACCCAAGACACCATAGTAAAGCAGGGCCAAAGAGAGCGCAAGAAAGTTGCTGTTAGCGCGGCTCGCGCTTTACCATTTACTAGGTAAAGTACCTACCTACCACTTAGATTGGGGCCGAGGTGCCATCTACTTACTTTACTCGATTTAGATAGATTAATCGTCATTCAAGATATTGGTGACGATCGTCTCCTACAGCTCCCCAGACTCTCCACCCCGCAATACTGAACAGCGACGCGGCCCTCTTCTCTACCCACAGACGGGGACAACCCCCCCCCAACACCAGGCCCGTCAACATGACTTCGCCCTCTTCCGGGGAATCTTCCTCGAACAAAGCCAAAGCATCGCCCGCGCCGGCACCGTCTCCTGCGACTTCCATCGCATCCACGGCAGATACTACTACGACCTCAAGACCCGATGCATATGTGTCCGAAAAATCTGATGACAGCTCAAAATTGAGGATTCTTCTGAGCATACTGCGAAAGTGAGTTTAGAGAAAAGGGTCTGGGCTTGACCTATGGCCCGTTCTCCATCCTCCATGACAGAGTGAGGTCTCTAGATTACCTTAGAGCTGCTCACGGTTCCTCTTAGGTTCATTGGCGTGTCAGATATCGCCTCAGTCAGATTCTCTTTACCGGCCCAACTTCTCGAACCCACACCAAATCTTGGTACGAAGACCGCTGTAATTCACCGACCTCGCCATGGGTCACTTGTGGCGACGTCTACTAATGTATTCTCCAGAATACTGGAACTACTTGGACCGGCCAGAGACATTTGTAGCGTATGCTGCTGCCTCCGTGGTGCTTTCAGTACCTGCTGACGCCCCCATGCAGCATCGGCGATTCTAACGATGGTCTTGGCCGAATGCTCGAGGTGCTCCGCTTCTGGTTCACCAAAGATTTGGTGCGTGTTCGCTGCTACAGATCGTCCAAGAGCAAGAAGCTCACGGAGTGCATAGAAATACGTCAAAGGCAAGCCGTGCAAGCCCTACAATTCTACACTGGGAGAGTTCTTTCGGGTATGTGAAGCGTCTCAAGCCTATACTGCACCACCCAATGACCTGGTCACCAGTGTAACTGGGAAGTCGAAGATAACGCCCCACCAATACTCGGCGAGACGCACAAAGAATCTGCTACACAACATGTCGACACCAAGAACAAGCAAATCAGAGTATCATATATCACTGAGCAAACTTCGCATCATCCTCCTGTATCCGCATTTTTTGTCGATTGCCCTGTGAAAGGTGTCAGCGCCCGCGGTTTCGATCAGCTAAGCGCCAAATTCACAGGCACCAGTATCCGAGTCACACCGGGAGCACATAATCTGGGTATATTCATCAACTTGAAACACCGAGACGATGAAGAGTATCAGCTGACTCATCCAATCGCACATCTTGGAGGTATGCTTCGAGGCTCTTTGTCCATTACGGTCGCGGATAGCTGCTTCTTGACGTGCCGCAAAACCAAAATGAAAGTCATCCTCCACTACCTTGAGGAGAATTGGCTGGGCAAGACACAGAACAAGGTCAACGGCGTAGTATATACCTACGATCCCGAGAATGACAATAAGACGCGCATCAAAGACGTCCCGGAAAAGGATGTTTTGGCACGACTTGATGGCTGTTGGCACGACCAAATATTCTACACACTACAAGGCTCGAAGGTAAAGTTCCGCTTCTTTCGGATCTTCTGGCAACAAAAGTCTAATCATCTATCTTTATGCTAGGATTCTTCGGTCTTATTGGACCTCAGGCCCCTTTTCCCGACCGCCAAAATCATTCCCCCTGTCGATCAACAACTTCCAAATGAATCCCAGCGTTTCTGGGCTGGCGTCACAAGTGCGATAAAGAGCAAACAATACACGGAAGCGACCAAGCTTAAGCAAGAGATCGAAGAACGGCAACGCGACAAAGCCACCCAAAGGAAAGAGAAGAACGAGGAGTGGAAGCCAAGGTTCTTTACTGACGCTGTTACTGCTAATGGGAAGCCTGATCTGACTGAAGACGGAAAGAAAGCTCTCCAGGGACTGCAGGCCGAAGATTATGGCCTGCGAGACAGTGATGTTACTGGTGCATAATGGATGACGGCTTCGAGAGACGTTGTTCCCTGGGACTCGGATTTGTGCGTGCATGGTCGCGTCTTATGAACTTGTGCCGCATTTTTGGCGTGTTGGGATGGGAATGGTTTAGGCGCAAGTGCAGCGGATTTTATGTGGGGTCCATCATAGAGTCTAGATTCGAATACATACCTATATCCTTTTACTTCGTGCGATCCCGTCATTTTTTGGACACGCCTTTCTCTGCTGTCATAGAAAGGGAGAACTCCATGCATCCCAAACATGCTTAACGTCGAGCGATGGGTGAACGCCAGGGCTTAGCAACATGTCATGGCGCTCACCGCTAGTTTGCCAGAATGTTCGGGATTTGCTACTCCTGACCATGTTTAGGATCGTGCAAGCCTTAGCCAGGGGACTGACCCGCTGGAAACCTGGGTCACGATCCAGTACTAGCTTCCCGTAGAACTGAGGAGTTCCCTTGCTTGCCGGTCAGAGAGTCGCTTTATCAGCTATCTGCCAACTCTCATGTTGACATTGTGCAACTTTTCCCTCACCCTCCAGCTTCCGCAAGACTTGCACTACACCGTTAGCGGCTGGCACATGCAGATTGCTTGGCACATCTTTATACACGGCTTTCACCAATTCCATTGACGTCGCCTCTTTCCCGATATCCCTGAGTGCCTGCAAGATCTCCTCTTCTCTCTGCTTTCTGTGTGCGATGTATTCCTCAATCCGAGTCCGTCCATCTTCTATTACTGCACCCTGCGCACATGTTGGAGTCAGCGTGTTGCCTCTTCAAGGCAAAATGCCTAAAGACTAGAATAGCTTTCTTCTCCCCAAACATCTACTGTGACTCGGTATTCGGGCCCAGAGAGCAACAAAACACTCTGAAATGGACTTACATGACCCGGGTAGGCTCTGCCGTGGAATTGCTCCCGCATGCGTGATAGGCTGTCAAGATACACGGCTAAATCCTCAAACACTGCTGTTCCATGTCCCAGGACATTGTCGCCTGTGAACATTGCGTTCTCCTCTTCCAATACGAAAGCCATATGGTCCGCAGTGTGGCCAGGGCAATGGAATGCTCGCAACTTAGCTCCTTCTGTCTCAAAGATTTGGCAGTCATAAATCGGTTTCTGTCCGCTTGCCGGATCATGCTTATAAATTGTTGCGTTAGGACAAAAGGAGAGGAGGTCTTTCACGCCGCCAACGTGGTCAGGATGCCAATGTGTAATGATAGCTTGAGATATCGTGGTGGATTCCGATATGAGAATCGAGGAGAGGCAGTGAGACCAGGAAGATTTGCCTTCGCCAGTGTCGAGCAAGAGACGGGATGGGCCCCTACCCACAAGATAGGTGTTCGTTCCTTCGCAAAATCAGCACTTGCTAAAATGATGCCCGCGAATATCTGACCCTGCAAAGTGAATTGGCCAGCGTTGCCTCCTAGGATCCTGATAATCAAAGGGCTGATTCGTTGAACCTCTGGTATCTGAGGCAATTGAGTCGCCATCGACATCAATTTGGTTGGGCACCGAAAGAGAGTTGGCAAAACAACTGCGCAGAATGGCATAAATAAAGTAAGTTACAATCTAGTTCATTCGAGGTCGCTTTAGCCTCGGCTTCGGGATAGCTCGCAGCTTCAGCGCCCAAACCCTGTCAAAACATCTTCCAGTTTTTGCTGCTTTGATGCTCGTAAGGTTCGCTTTTGGTAAGACATCTTGATGCTTGGTGCAATGTTCTGACTCAACGGTCTCTTATTTGGGAACTTAAAGGTGTCAACCCACTCACGGTAGAATGACCTCAAGCTTTGATCTCCTGTTACGTCGACCAGCGCGTCTGGTTGATTGGCTCCTATGGACATGTGCAGTACTGGGATTGCATCAATGGCCTCCACACCTTCAGCCGTCAATGTCGTCTTGCTAAATGCTCCGCCAAGTTGAAAGCTCGCGTGAACTATCGAATCCCATCCAGCGCTAGTCGCACCGCCTTTTACGAGCCATTCGCTGAGGTCTTTTCCCGTTTTGTAATTCCATTTATGGTTTTGTGCCGCTTGTCTGTGTTTGGGACCAAGATTGCAGTCCTCGACATTGAATACCGATAGCGCCGGAAATTGGTTGAGATGGGCGAAGACGTTGGCAGTGATGTCCTTTTGCGAACGGCAATTGAGGACTCGGAGTAATCTAAAGGCATCTGTTGATGAAGCACTTCGTCCCCAGCCTCTGATGATGCCTTCAAGTTTCGCGAATCAGTACTGCTTCTTTGCTGTGGAAAAGGATTCACAAAACAAGGCCAATGAGTACGATACTCTCGACACGTGTATCAGAACTCAGGTTAGGGTAGAGATTACAAAGAGATCGCGCCGAAATGAAGACGTACTGTCGTCGAGCCCAATGTCTGGAGTGGTAAATTTCCGTCCGATAGTCAAGACTCCGAGGTTAGTAAGCTGGGAAATCTGGACAAGATCGGTGCGGGACTGGCTTACAACTTTGGAGTCAGTAGTGCCTTTGAAGGGGTGCATTGAGCCTTGGAACATGTCTACAAAGTAGACAATCCCATGGCATGTCCCAAGACCCAACTGTTCATCCGAAATAGGAAAGATGGATTCCGGAAATACGTACGCAGGTGACGTTGCTCAGCGACAGGAAGGTCACCCAATGATATAAGGGTGAGATAAGAGAGGCGACATAATCGCCGAGTTTCATGTTGGGTCTTGCTATGACGTGATGCTTTCGTTTCAGGGCATCGATGCCTTCATTCGGATACGCAACAGCAAAAGCCTTCCAGACCTTCACGCTGACTAGTTGTCTGTGCAAGTCCTCTTGTTAGCCTTGTTTTGTGCCAGTCAGGAGTCAAAATTGAGCATACGAAGCGACGAGTCTTTCCCAAAGCAGACTTGCAACCTCCCAAGGTAGCCCCTCAAGACTCTCGGCAGTGATATTGAATGAATGACTAAGGGCGCTTCGAATGGCCATGTTGGCGAGTGATGAACATCCAGGACCTGATGATCTGAAGCATGCCGCTTCCCTGGAGCTACCCTGAGTTTTCCATACCCAGTCTAAGGTCATAGGTCCTCCTGGACATGAAACCTCGGTGAAGACTTGGCCGGACTCGTCATGTTTGATGGTCCCATTGATGGTTCTATGGTTTGAGCCATGGTAGCTGTTGGGTGCAATGAAGACACCAGTTCTCATGAGCCCCTTCTTCATGCTTCCGTAATCGTAATTCGGGGGACTAATCCCTCCAAAGGATGGCAGAAGATCAAGACACCATGTTTCCGCAGAGCAAACACGCGGCGAAGCTATAGCACGTGACAGGCGCGCTTCGAGACAAAGTAGCGGTTAAAATCTAAGACATTGAACAACTCAATAAGTAGCAAAGCGCGTGCATTACTGTAGGGGGTTTCAGACTAGGAGTTTTTAAGCTGTGTATACACTGTCTTGACTGTCTTACGCTAAGAATTTTACTTTCGGGTCTTTGGATCGTAATTTCCGAGATTTTAGTGTCCCTCAGAATAACGATATATCTTAGTCTGTTAAGACACACTAACACACACACCAAAACTTTCAATCCCTTATAAATAAATAAATAATAATAATTAGAAAAAGATATATATATAAAAGTTATAAAGAATTATATAAAGAATAAATTTTATATATAAAATTTTTTAATTCAATAAATATGTATAAAGTTATTATATATATTCGTAGATTTCGTTATTAGCGTAATCCGACTTTAGTGTGTCTAGACTGAATTGCTAATATAAGCCCTCGAGTGTGTCTGAGCGTGCTAAAAGCTGAATTAGCTGTCTAAGCGTGCTAAAAGCTGAATTACTAAATAACACTAACGGCGATCTAGAGGCCCGAAAGTATCTTCTTAGCGTAAGACAGTTAAGACAGTGTATGTAGAACTTGAAAACTCCTAGTCTGAAAGTCCCTACTGTATCGGACATCCTGGCTGGACATGTCAGAATCTCGCCAAAAAGACGCGCGACTGTTCATTTTCGATAAAGTGCGCTAAGATAAGATACCGTATACCGTATGCTACACTAAACCCAGATCGTCCTCTATGCTCTTCCCGCGGAACGTCATGGTCCTTCGATTCCTTATTCTCAACAGAGACTTTGTACATACCTCCTTTCTTCCACGTCAGAGATGACGAGTGACAGAGCTCTTGGACTTGACTTGGTATCATGTTGAAGAAGCCAAGCCTACTGCTCCCAAATTACAGCAATTTGCACTGTCTTTACTGCTCTCAATCAACTCCCGTCCATACATCAACATCATCTCCGAAGTCGCAACGACTAAGGTACTCTCATCCGAGGAAACTAGCGTTCCGATGCTTTGCAACTGTTCGCTCGGACATTCACCATACGGGTTCACCTCAAGACCCATTTTGGCCTGATCTACCTTTGCCCAATGCAGTGCCGACTCCGTATCAGATCTTCAGACTGAAGAAAGACTCGCCATACTCGAAGCGCAGGTTTTACGAACTCGTCAAAGTCTATCATCCGGATAAGAATGACCACGAGTCCGGGTCCTCCGATACAAGTGATCTACCTGGGTCAATAAGGATGGAGCGCTACCGTCTGGTAGTCACTGCCCACGAGATCCTTTCAGATCCTGTTAAACGGAGCGCTTACGACAAATTTGGAGCCGGTTGGAATGGCCAGCCAGATCATGGAGCCCCGAAGTACCACTGGGGGGAAAACAATGATAAAAGATGGTCCGGCTTTGACACGAATGATTCCCCATTCAGGAATGCAACTTGGGAGGATTGGGAAAAGTGGTATCAGAGGGGCAAAGCCAAGCAAGAGCCTGTCTATTTCTCTAATGGTGGATTCTTGATGCTTGTGCTCGCGGCCGTCTTTCTCGGTGGCTTCGGGCAATCTATCCGAGTTGGAGAGAATATGTTCCAAAGGCAAGTTGAAAAGGTTCATGATGATGCCAGCAAAGCAGTTCGACAGCGGAGGACAGAGTCCCAAGGATTCGGAAATAGAGATGAGAGGTTACAAAGTTTCCTGAGAACGAGGGATCCACACGGCTACGGGGTTACAGACCCGCTGGAAGAAAGCTATCGGAAGCTCCTGCAACAGCCGGAGATATGCATGAGCGACGTTATCAATCAAAGAGGTCATGATCATGGTCAGGAATCAAAGTCGTGAGGGTTTCTTTTCGAAGGTTGCATTTGAGATTGTTGGGGGAAGGCCTGCAATGTCAGAAGGTTGCATTCAGCAAATAGGGTGGAATTCAACAGCTTAGACAAACTACATAAAGAGTACAGAAAGTCGGGATTCACAGGGACGGCTCTGCATTATGCCATCATTACCCAGAAAGTGGCTTATTATATACCCAGAAAAACAAAATGCAAACTTCGTTGACCTGATTATCACCTTTCACTTTCTCGTTCCCTACATATAATGCTACCTTTGCACAAGTCGCTCAAATTGTACTCCACTGAAAGCTCCTGCATTTGAGGGAGTTCTGTTCTTCATCTACTCTTTAGGTCATAGTCGCTCAGATTTCGAAAAGAAGTGATAGCGCTCGCACAGTTGGCTGTGCAAGGTATGAGTATTGAAGATAAAGTAGCCATGAAAACGGACATGCTTTGGCGGACTTGCCCCAAATGATAGTGCAATCTGAGATTGCTTAAGTCAAGACTTGATGTCCACAGTTCTTTCAAACTGGTACACAGACCCCTTTCTTCGGCAGCAGTTGATTCATGACGGAGAAATATGACCGCTCGGCGACAGGCTAACTTGAGACGCCCCCAGACGCTACAAGAACGCACGAATCCTGAAAGAATCATCGCCTTTCGCTTCCTTCACGATGAATTCATTGGGAGGTTGCCCTTGGGAAACTCCCCAGGCACGTGCAACTCGCTAATTGTAGCTACACGGCTTCCCAGCGAAGGTCTACTTGCCAGGTCTTTAATTGGTGACGCTGGATCAGAGGCATGTGAGGTCGGGTCGCCTATATTTGGCGAAATGCTTTGATTGGCAGTGTCATTCGTGCTACTAGAGGCGAACGGGAAAGCGGCAAAAATGGCTCCTTGGACAGGCGGCTGTCCTGACTCCTGAGGTACCGGAGCGGAAACTTGAGTGGCAGCAGGAGTAGTCTGTAGGCCGGGCTGGTCTTCGTGAGCAGCTGGCTCTATTTCTTTACCAACGTGTCGGTAGGCTTCGATCCCAGCAGCACCAACTGCTGCACCCCCTGCTCCGGCCAGCCAGTCGCCGTACTTGCTATCATGTCTTTCCACATTGAAGGGCAATGATCGTGGTGTAGGTTCAACCTGTTGATGATGATAGGTGACAGAACCTGGATCATCCGATGAACCGATACTCTGAGCTTGTTCAGGTGAATTATGGTCCTTAACGCCAGCTATTGTGGCCCAGTTCGATCCCTTCTGCAATGGTAGGCCTTTAAGGCCCTGCTTAGTTGCCATTGGAGAGTATGAATCCATTGCCAGTGGCGCTGCAGATGCACCGTCTAGCTCTCCTCTCGCGGGGTTCGTCTCATCATAACCAACCTGCATCTGCTGCCCCGAGCTACCAAAAGGAACACCAGATTCCGGGAGTGCGCTGGCAGCAGCAACTATTTCTCGGTCACCTGTGGAGCTCGACGGACTAGAAGGGGAAACGGGCACTTGTGAGTCTCGATTGATCTTCAAAGCACTCGGAAAACGCCCACCTGGATTAGGGCGCTGTGGGAGCTTTTCCACTTGGGGTGGTATTTCGGCTTGAGAAGCGGTTGCAGAATATGGGACTTCGTCTGCTTCATCCTCATCCATACCGCCATCGCTGCTGATAGAGCCTGCTTTGTGGCTGCCTGCACTTACACTCCGTGCATGGGACCTTCGAATGAATTCTTTGCGTTCCGCGCCAGTCTTTTCAGTTAGACTTTTGATGTCGGAAAACCAGGCGAGCATAGTATCAAATGACTCGGCTCTGAATACCCATGCGTGTCCTCGATGCATACCGCCACTCTGACGTCCTTTGAGCATAAATTTGTGGGAGGTGGAGTCAGCGTTCGAATGTGAGCCGAGTTTCTGGTCTGCGAGTGGCAGAGACATGACTGGCGCTTGGCTAGATATCCGGTCTGGAGATTTGAACTCATGAATATGCGTGGTAGATAGCACATACCTATGCGAGGTCAATGAAAGCATTTCAAATAGGAGTTCAAGAAGATCCCTACCATCCAGGCGTATAACTTTTCAAGTACTTACTCTTACGCTCAAGCATTCCCGCCTTGACTTCTGAAGCAGCCGCATCATCTTTACCCGGATACGTAATGTTCTCCACTCTGCGTACTGGGAGCCTGGGATCTACGAAATGCTCATTGTTGTCAACAAAAGCGTTCCATTCGAAGTCTTTCGGGATAGCCAAAGGACCGCTTCGGAGTCTTTCAACGGTCTCATACGCCTCATCTGCTTCTCTTTTGATGATTCCAGCATACGCGCTGTATGCTTTCTGGATCTCTCCCATGACAATCGACTCGAGCTCTCGACCAGAGCTTTCCAGATTCAAGAACGCCTGAACAGTCAGCATGAGCTCTGCATGAAAGCTTCGCATTAACATACCCTATGCAGATAGTTCTCTTCTTCGATTTGTCTCCCCAATTGTCGGTCAACTCCAAGTCTGATTAAATAGGGGTCGTTCTTCGCGTCCGTATTTGCAGCACCTAAAGCGTCCTGCAAGTCCCGTACTGCTCTCCTAGTACCCTCAGTCTCCTTGTCTACGCCGTTTTTAAAGTCACCAGAAAGGCCTTTTATCTCCTTGATCTTCTGGCCCAGATCACTCCGAAGGCCTGTGAGCTGCACGATTACCTCTTCCTCAATGGACTTGGCCTTATTGCCCTCCGTTATCGATTGCTTATGGAAGTCTCTTAAAACATATATAGCGTCACTGATTCCTCCTTCTGATACGAAGTGGGGAGGAGTAGGGATGTTCGTAATGACATTTGAAATTGTATAGAGAGATTTGGAGCGGGCGTCGTAGGATTTTTGGATGTCCCGAAAGTAGGTGATCAGATCTTTGAGCACCTTCCGCCAAACTGACGATTAGACGTATCAGCACATGTCCTTTTTGGAGCTGCTCCATACGATCTGCAAAACGAAACCTACCTTGGAACCTGTTCGCTAAGATCTCTGTGGGGCTTCCAGTCGTGGGTACAGGGGTGAAGAAGGCGCTCGTCATCTCCGATCCGTATCCACCCACATCGTCTGCGAAAGTCAAGCTTTTCACGCTCGCTGGGCGACTGTCCTTCCTGCTTCCGCTTCGCTTCAAGCTATTCTTTCTACTGAGCGACTGTCGCTTTTTAAGGGTGCCCCCGCGCGAGGGCGTCAAAGTATGTGACTGGGACATGGTGGAAGTAATGTTGTGAGTGTCGCTGTCCCCAGCTGTAGAGGACCCTGGGTGACCGACCATGGCATTTCCGTCACGGTGAACAGACTGGTTATGCAAGTTCGAGTGTGCAAGGGGATCGGATCCACCTTGGGCGAATTCTGTTGCTCCGACCTGCCGCTGAGCCATTCCACTATGAAGGTTTCGTCGTCAGTCCATGCCAGCTCATAAGACTTTCTAGGGGGCACCGATTGGGGGGAAAACCCCTCGGCACTGCTCCCGAAACATGTCATGCGACCCAGATTGCGGCCTTGATTCAGGAAATTCTTGCTCCAGAACGTACATACCAGACGCAAAGATGACTGTGGAAGGGTAAAATATTGCGAAAGGATAAGAGCGAGTCAACAGGCTCTGTTTATGGCGCCGGGTAATTGTCTAGCTGTAGCTGACGGCTAGTAGAGAGAATGAGAAGGGCGTAAGGATATGAGGATCGAGTAGCTCTTTTTGGACAAGCACTTTGTTGCAAGGCTGGTCGAAGCAGCTTGTACGATTTCATTAATGACGGACGAGGCTTAGCGGTGGCTGCTTCGGAGAGCCACTTCGTTGAATTGGGCACAATAGGAATCGAATTGTAGATTTACGGATGCCCCGGCTTACTGGAAGAATTGGTGAATGTTGCTACTCCAGCTACTAGGATCCCTCCCTGAGTAAGGAATAAGGAGCAAGGCAGTTTTAGGAAAAATGCTGCAAAGAGTGAATCGTGATACTTTTAATGGAATAGAACATTAAGTAATATCGTCCTCATGGTGAAGTACTAGTACCCTCCGAGCCTACCCACCTTTGTTGACTAGGTGAAAAAAGGTTCCGGCGAACGTCATCCCTCAACACACGCAATACATGGGTACCTACTTTAACGTTGTACAATAGGGGCTATCAAAGTTACTTCTACTTATGAAATAAGTCACTTATTTACCCCTCCAGCCCTATATCAGCCCTATGATAAGTAGAAAAAAAACGACTTCTGAGTTGCTCCTCTGGAGGAGCAACAACACTCCATAAGCTACTTATTTCGTATTCTATTACACGCTCTAGAGTAGCCTTCTACACATATAACACGCTATCATGGCCAAGCCTAATCCTACAGGCGTCATAGCCAGAAAGAAGCCTAAACGCGCCCTGATAGACGTCTGCATCAGCTATCTACTTCGTCTGCATCAGCTATCTACTTACCAAGGAGGTAACCAAGGCTTTAAACAGCAGCGATTCCAGCCCGTCTGACTCAGAGACGGATCCCGTGATGCAGACAGAAGTCATGATGACTGCGCTGAGGTATTATTGTCGTTGCAATGGCTTTGGGAGGTGTTTTATGTGGCCATGGGCCACTGTTGAGAGGTGTTCTCCGGCCGTTTCTATCCGCCAAGGCCCTATATCGAATGTAGTTAACACGGTATCATTACTACGAGACTATTTAAGAAGAAGAAGAAATAGTTATTATTCATAAGTCGAAATAGATGAGGTGCTGTCAAAGAACTAGTAGCTTATTGCATTTCTACTTATCATAAGTAGAAGTAACTTTGATAGCCCCTACTATTAATGGAGTATAACATTAAATACGCCTCATGGTGAAGTACTAGTACCCTACGAGCCTACCACCTTTGTTGACTAGGTTCAAAAAAGGTTCCGGCGAACGTCATCCCTCAACACACGCAATACATGGGTACCTACTTTAACGTTGTACAATAGGGGCTATCAAAGTTACTTCTACTTATGAAATAAGTCACTTATTTACCCCTCAGCCCTATATCAGCCCTATGATAAGTAGAAAAAAACGACTTCTGAGTTGCTCGAGCAACAACACTCCATAAGCTACTTATTTCGTATTCTATTACACGCTCTAGAGTAGCCTTCTACACATATAACACGCTATCATAGCCAAGCCTAATCCTACAGGCGTTATAGCCAGAAAGAAGCCTAAACGCGCCCTGATAGACGTCTGCATCAGCTATCTACTTCGTCTGCATCAGCTATCTACTTATCAAGAAGGTAAGTAAGGCTTTAAACAGCAGCGATTCCAGCTCGTCTGATTTAGAGACGGATCCCGTGATGCAGACAGAAGTCATGATGACTGCGCTGAGGTATTATTGTCGTTGCAATGGCTTTGGGAGGTGTTTTATATGGCCATGGGCCACTGTTGAGACTCTGGGAGGCGTTCTCCGGCCGTTTCTATCCGTCAAGGCCCTATATCGAATGTAGTTAACACGGTATTATTACTACGAGACTACTCAGGGCGGTTTTTAATCTTTGAACACTTATCCTATTCTAGGTAGCCTCATAATTTCGGACTTGCCTCGGCTTAAGTCCAGTAAACAAACAATCTAAATAAACAATTATTGTGAGCTACACACACTATTATAATATCTAATTCGTTTAATTATGCCTCGTAAGAAGTATAACTATAAGGGCTAAAAACCTCGGGAGCCATTAATCGATAGATGGGAGTGGAGAATTGATTAAAGAATAAGCAATGTAGCCCTAGTTAAAGCAGAGTATTCTCTACGAGAAATTCAAGACAATCACACCGATACTCCCAAATCAACGATTAGTTATTACTATCGTAAGGCCTTGAAAATAGCCGAAGATTGGAACATCAATATTCTTCATGAGATTTGTCATCAAGATCGCCTTCGCTTCGGCCGTTTATTATATCCATTAGAAGCGGAGCAAGAGAGGATTTTTAAGTATATTGTTAGTACGCTGGAAAATCGGAAAAAGGATACTTTACAGCATATAAAAGAGCTAAATCTTCTCGGCACTAAGCGCGATACAGACGGTAATCAAAAGCTTCTCTCGGAGTCACGCTTTAAGTAAATTATATATGATTATAATTATGGTAAGAAATTCTATTATTGAAAATCTGAATTGACGGATGAATATCGGGAGCTTCGAATGGCCTTTATAAGGGCTTATTTATATTGGGATTGGGTAAATAATGTCGTATCTACAGACGAAGCCAAAGCTAAGCGTATCGAGTATGATTATCGAGCTATTTAACGTGCCTCGGGAGAGGAAATAAGCTCGAAATTAATAGGACGAACTAATCAAGAGGATGATAAAGCTATATATATGATTTCTGGCAAGATCGCTTATAGTAAAAGTATAATTAACGAGGAAGGGGAGTGGTTATAAGGCAAAATCAACGGCAAAGGGAAATTGATTTTCTTATGGGATGAGATTTAGAATGAGAAGAATATGGCTAAAGAGGCTCTTGTTGTTGAGAATTATAGAAATCAAGGACTTCAAGCACTCGCATTTGCCTCTCAAATACGTTTTAACGAGAATAAAGAGAATAATACTGGATGAAAGAAGCCTGGCCCAAAGCCTTAGTTCGAGACGTATTTAAAATAAGCTGCTAAGAAACGAGGTAATCGTAAGAAAGGGAGTGGAGTGGATGTCTATCGGTATAGGGAGGAAGTCTTAAAAGGGGACGAAGGCTTACTAGAATTCTGTCGGATCTTACTTGATTAGGGTTATTCTATACGTGTGATATAGGATAAAGTAGGTAATTACACAGTAGAGTTCCCTCGTAAGGAATTCAGCAAGTGGCGAGTTACATGGTTCGGAAGATTGAAGAAATGTTTATTATTTATAAGTCGAAATAGATGAGGTGCTGTCAAAGAACTAGTAGCTTATTGCATTTCTACTTATCATAAGTAGAAGTAACTTTGATAGCCCCTAATACAGTAGCAGCCTCAAATGCCTTCTTCCAACAACCCCGGCTTCTACTATTGTAATATTACAATAATTGGGTAAGACACTGCATGTCAATACTTGGTTTGAGGATTTGGGAAGATTGTCTGTTTTATTTCTCACAGTAATGTTGCGACCGTTGGATCAAAGCGTCTATTCTGCCAGTTTTCTCTTTTCACCGAGACAGCCGGTGCTCAAACCAATATCCCATATTAGATGGAGTTGGTGAGGCGCCGTTCCTTCCTGAGAGCCTTCAACTTCCGGATGGCTTCGGCCAATGGTATCAATTCCCCTTTCGATTGCGTTTCCTGGTCATCACGGTTGCGAATATTCACAGAGCGCGATTCCCTTTCTTGGGCTCCCACCACTAGTTCATATCAGCTGAATCACTGCTATCAAGAGCCTTTTCGAACTTACCAAAGATGAAATTATATTGTGCCAATTGCCCAATAACGATCTTCTTCTTCATCGTATTCCCGCTGATGTCAATGTCCGCGTGCATCTTCTGAGCTCTGAGTAACTGCTGCACCTCCTCGGCATAATCATTGACTGTTGGCATGACTGGAATGACCAGGACCTGTCGCGGACTTAACCAAAAAGGCCATTTCCCCGCAAAATGCTCGGTTATGACGGCCATGAACCGTTCAAAACTTCCAACAATCGCACGGTGGATCATGACGGGACGAGCACGTCCAGGGCCAGGCGCTTTTGGTTTGCTCGAGGAGCCAGCAGAACCGTCTGGCTGCGCGTCCACTGACTCGTTGGCTTTGGGCTTCGAGCCCGTCTCCGCGGTCATGTATTCTAATTCGAAGTTTTGTGGAAGCTGGAAGTCGAGCTGGATGGTAGCGCACTGAAAATCTCGCATCAAGGCGTCGGATATTCCAATATCAATCTTGGGTCCATAAAAGGCACCATCTCCCTCATTGAGCTCCCATTGCCCACCGCCGGACGCTGTGAACTCGTCTAGAGCTTCTTTAAGCTTAGACTCTGCAACATCCCAGGTCTCCAGATCTCCGAGGTACTTCTCGGGCCGCGTTGAAAGCTCAAGCTTGAACGGGAACCCAAAGAGCCCGTAGATACATTTGAGGAAATCGAACAGTCCCTCAATTTCTTGCGTTATCTATCAGAAAGTCACTTCGTGCGTATAAGAAAATATTGCCAAGTTGCTTACCTGGTCTTGAGTACAGAAGATATGGCTGTCGTCTTGCTGGAATTTTCTAACTCTGGTCATGCCATTGAGGGCACCAGACGCTTCGTTTCTATGCAAAACACCGAAGTCGGCCATTCTCAACGGTAATTCACGGTAACTCCGTTCCCTATGACTGAATATGACACAGTGTCCCGGACAGTTCATTGGCTTCAGAGCCCATTTTTTCTTCTCGATTTCGAGGCTGAACATATCGTCTTGATAATGCTGCCAGTGGCCAGACCTTTTCCATAAGTCAACGTCATACATATTAGGAGATTGCACTTCCTGATATCCACGTTTATGGTATTCGGAGCGCAGTAATTTCTGGAGAGCGTTGAAGATGATAGTCCCATGCGGCAGAAGGAAAACATTGCCGGGAGAGACTTCATCAAAGAAGAACAGTTCTTGCTCGGCACCGATCTTACGGTGATCTCGCTTAGATGCCTCTTCGAGGAACTTTTTGTGATCTGTCATGTGCTTCTTATCCGGGAAAGCAACGCCGTATATCCGTTGCAGCGAATCGTCGTCCTTATCGCCTCGAAAATAGCATGATGAATTCTGAGTAAGTCATCTGTCAGCAGTGTGTCTCATTCACGATCATTTTCACCAACCTTCATGATCTGGAATGCCTTAATTTTTCCGGTATTTTGGATGTGAGGCCCAAGACATAGATCCACCAAGGTTCCACACTTGTATACAGTGCTTCCTTCGGGAGGTAGTAGATTTTCAATGTAGTACATTTTGTATTTGCTGTAACCAAACATTTCTTTCAAGTCCGGAATCGACACGTGCAGTCTCTCAAAGGGTTGCTTCTCTTTGAAGAATTGTGTCGCTTTTTTTTCCAGGGGTGCCCAGTCTGCCTCCTTTACCACTTGTCTGAGACTCGTCAGCGCGTTATTTTTTACTCGTCATCGAGTGGCTAGCCTACCCTTCGGCTATAGCCATATCGTAAAAGAACCCTTGTCTGACGGGCGGACCATGTGACAGCAGGCAGTTGAATTGGCACTCGCAAGCTTCCCCTAAAACATGGGCGCTGGAATGCCAGAAGACCTTTTGACCTTCGGCAGTGGAGAAAGGAACATAGCTGACCCGACACCCATACTCCAATGGCCTATCAAGATCCCAGAGCTCCTTCCCGTCCACTTTTGCAATGACAACATCGCTACAAACATCCTTATCCACATGCTTAAGAAATGACCCTGGAGTAGACTCCCATGCCTTTGCGGCGACGGGCATTGCCGCTCTTGGTTTGCCCTGCTTGTCTGGTCCAAATTCCAGGACAACGTTGATCTCTGCTTTCTCCTTCTCCAGGATCTCCGCATGACGTCGGCGCTTGAGCTTGTCAAACAACTCGTTGCGTCGTAGAATAATATCTGGGAGCGAGGAAGCCATGGCTTGATTCGCCGCACTTCTTGAAGGTGATCCGTTTTCTTTAGAAGAGATATGGGAATTTGGAGCGTCCTGAGGCTGTAAATGTCCAGCTTTGGGGCCGTTCCTGGAGGTTTTCCTGGAATGCTTAGATTTGGGACTCTGAGCATTGGGCTCCGGCAGTGGTTGTGCAGCTTCTAATTCACTCTTCGAATACTGTTGGGCATGTGGAGATGCGGGGCCTCGAGCATTTGGGGGATTGGATCGCGGTTCTGCGGCAGGGTCACTCGCTGCTGAACGGAGTGCCAGATCATTGCGTGACTCATAAGATCCAGCAGCTTCTCCGTTCGCTCGAGTTTCCATTGCTGACTGCTCCATGGCGCGTTGAGTCACATTCGGCGTGGAGTACGATCAAGCGAGGGTATTGCCGAAAAATACTAGCGGCTTGGCATTACCAGGAACACAGAGGAAGCCAACAAATCCTTCGCCCGGAAGCATCGTCAATATCAATATGTCTTTCCGAGGTGCACCCCGAGGACGAGGAGGTAGCTTCGGTGGAAGTCGAGGTGGAGCCGGAGCGCGAGGCGGTATGTCAGACTTCGGTCCAAGCTGCGCAATGCGACTTGACCGCTGATTCCATGTGCGAACAGGTCGCGGCGGTTTTCAGCAGTCATATGGACCACCAGCAGTTGTGTTAGGTCCGCTGATCTCCTTGAGAAGTGTGGCACCTACTAACTGACCGCACCTAGAGATGGGATCCTTCGTCCATGCATGCGAAGGCGAGATGGTCTGCGAATCTGTCAACCCAAAGCTGCCATACTTTAACGCCCCAATCTACCTAGAGAACAAGGTCAGTGCTTAGGACACCACCTCACATCATGGGAACTAAGGACTCTTTAGACCTCAATTGGCAAAGTCGACGAAGTTCTGGGCCCAATAAACCAGGTTTTCTTTACCATTAAGCCGCAAGAGGGTATCGTTGCAACATCATTCAAGGCTGGAGATAAATTCTACATCGGAGGAGATAAACTTCTACCACTGGAGAAGTGCGGACGTCTTCAGTTGATTTTAAGGAGCATGCGCTGACTATTTTCAAGATTTCTACCAAAACCCAAACCACCCCCAGGTGCATTGAAACCAAAGCGTACAGGTGGTGCTTCAAGAGGTGGTCCTATACGTGGAGGCCGAGGCGCCTCCAGAGGTGCGCCAAGAGGTCGAGGAGGTTTTGGTGATCGAGGACGAGGGGGTGCTAGGGGAGGAGGAAGAGGAGGGTTCGGTGCTGGGAGAGGTAGTCGAGGAGGTAATCCTAATTTTACAAGGCCTGGCCCTCGTGGGCGAGGATCATAGTTTATCAGGCCCGGCGTTGCGGCAAAAGGCGTCTTGTGTATGGGAAAGGACCCAAAATGAAGTCCGTTCAATTTAACACCTTCGATTGAACAAGTTAGGAGACTTTCATGCCCAAGTACTCTATCGTCGAAAGGTGAACTAAGTAAAGTCCATTTGGAACCTGTTGTTCGCTTAAATGAATGGCGCAGGACCCCGCCAATCATTCGACATTCTTGCGCTGCTGTCAACAACGGAATCTATAAAGTATTCTCCATACGTACGATTGACTCGGTACCACCCACTTCGCAATCCCTTTATTTACCCCCGTCATCATGGCCTCTGAGCTGAAGACCGATCCTAAGTACGACGACTATGAATACCCCACCACAAGCCCTAATGTTCAGAGTGGCCATCCAGGGCATACAACGCCAGAGCAAGATGCTCAGGTCTTCCAGCTGCGCACACAATTAGAGCAAGCAGGCTACACGGAGCGATTAGACACTTTATGCATGGTCAGCATCGTGGATGTGGTGTTTCGGCCCAGTGCATCTTTGACACTCAATAGCTTAGGTTCCTACGCGCACGAAAGTTCAACGTCGACCATGCAAAGCAAATGTAAGTACTTACCGTTCAGATCTATGGCTGTGATCTGAGAGAAAATATCAGGTTCATAGATTGCGAGAAATGGAGGAAAGACTTTGGTGTTGACGAGCTCGTACGGACATTTGATTACATAGAGAAGCCGAAGGTCTTCGAGTACTACCCACAGTACTATCATAGAACGGACAAGGTAATTCCAACGCGACCCTAATAGGAGGCATACCGAATTGATGTTCTGAAAGGAGGGGCGACCAGTCTACATCGAGCAATTGGGCAAAATCGACCTTGCCGCCATGTACAAGATCACCACCGCTGAACGAATGTTGCAAAACCTTGTGGTCGAGTACGAGAAGCTCGCTGATCCCCGCCTGCCTGCCTGTTCACGCAAGTCTGGACAGTTGCTCGAAACCTGTTGCACCATCATGGATCTCAAAGGGGTCGGTATCTCCAAAGTGAGCTCCGTGTATGGCTATGTCAAACAGGCTTCGGCAATCTCCCAGAATTACTATCCTGAGCGGCTGGGGAAGCTCTATCTTATAAATGCCCCTTGGGGCTTCTCCTCTGTCTTCAGCGTGGTAAAAGGCTTTCTTGACCCTGTGACTGTTCAGAAGATCCACGTTCTGGGTAGTGGTTATCAAACCGAGTTGCTTGGACAAGTACCAAAGCAGAACTTGCCAAAGCTTTTCGGCGGAACTTGCGCGTGCGAAGGCGGCTGCGCCCTGAGCGACGAGGGTCCTTGGTGAGTGCATCTTCAAGTAAACTTTGTCCGGTTGTTGTTGACTGGCGTCGTTATTACAGGCAAGACTCCGAGTGGACCAAAGCACCAAAAGGGGCGCGGACAGAAGGAGAATCAAAGGCGAGTAAACCAACCAGCACTACATCTGCTGTGCAGCCTCAGACTGCCTAAGGTGTATGGGAGCTGGCAGGGTAATCAAAGGCGCCGAAAAAGCACCAGTGGGTCATTAGGTATTGAAAAAGTGTCAAGGCAGCGTGTGACTTTCAAGCCTGATACTAAGACCTTGTTGGAATTGAAAGCGAAGGACAAGACCGAGGACAGCTTGCAGGCATTGCTGTCACGCAGTTGTCATACCCTAATTAGACCTGTAATGCATTATAGAGCTCCCAATCATTTCTTTTTCCTCGTTGACTCGTACCTAGTCGAAAAAGAGCACACCCAAGGCTTGTCTTTCTTTTAGACTATGTAACCTAGACGCCAATTCGCCGTGTCTGCACTTAAACATTGCAAGATCCTTCCTTCACGACCTCTACTGCCTTCTCCGCTCGTTCTAGCTTGGCCAATACGCCTGGAATCTTTCCTAGCTCCACCAGTCGCTCTGTCCCTCTTCCCCACATCCTCTCCATGTCGTCTTTTCGCTTCACTATTCCCAAATCGAGATTTTCCGCCTCCATGTGTAAACCCTGCCATTCTCTCTCCTTCTCCATTTCTTTCTCCCTCTTGAGCTCGGCTTCCAATCGTTCGACGTATCCTCTCGCTGCTGCCCCAGGCGCATCCCTTCTCAGTTCCGCAATACGTGTCGATTGAGTGTCAAATTCCGCATATAGGGTACGCAATCTCTCGGCGAGGCGAGGGTCGTAGGGTTCGTAGTTGCTGTTGTCATCTGGTGTGTTGGCTTCAGGGGCAGCATTGGGGCGTAGAAGGGTAGGTGAGGGGTCAAGACCATTGAGTGTCAGGGATGGAAGGGCACGAGTGAGCGTCTGAACTATATACTAGGGACAGATGCATGATCAGACGGACGTACTTAGGCGAAAACTTGCAACAAACTGAGAAGAGCATAAGAGAAAATTACTTCTTGTACGAGCTCCTCTACTTTAGATCTGTACGCGTCTTCACCTTCGGGCGCAGCTGACGGAGGTATCGCAAGATCCATTTTCTGTCGAGCAGCAGCCTTGATGTTATTGAAGAGGTAAGTGAGATCTGAAGGCGACTGGAGATCGATTTTGCGGTGATGGGCGTCCATATTTGCAAGTGCAGCGTTTGATCAGAGGGGCAGATGAGAAGTCAGTTGGCTCAAGAGACAGGCATTCTTATTATGTCGTGGCAAGGTACGCGGCTTCTCTTGTTTACATTTTGGCCCATAGACTAACCCAGTCGGCGGAGATACTTCCGCGGATCAAAATTGACCTCGGTAGAGTAGATGCGCTTGAACCTGATCGACCAACAACATCAATCTCTATGTCCGAAGCTCTTTCGTTGACGCCGAGGCAAGATCCGCCATTAACATAACTTGACTTCCCTAAGAAATCTCAAACTCTGCGTTCAGGAAGACCAACCACGCTCTCCCTTGTATCTGACATTACCCATTCTTTCCGCTCACTCCATCTCCTCATCTCATAGTCCCCTACAAAGTATTTTGTCCGTATATAGGGTTAATTTACTACAGTATTGCATCTCCACATTTACTCTAGTATTCGTCGACTGCTACAGAAGCAGCCATCAAGACTATGGCCTCTTCTAAGACGATTGTGCTTATCAGTGGCGCCAATCAAGGTATCGGCTGTGGGATCTCCGAAAAGCTCGCCACCGAAACCCTTCTTACCATGTCCATATGGGATGCCGTTCCTTCTCCAAAGGCCGAAGCCGCGGCATCTTCCTTCTCCAACCTTGCCATCGAAGCACTTGAGCTTGACATCAGCTCTGATTCTTCCATCTCCAAAGCCTTCGCCACCGTAGAAGGGAAGTTTGGCCATCTGGATGTCCTCATAAACAATGCGGGTATTTCACAACGAGCTTTACCCGAAGGCCTGACGACCCGCCAACGTTACGCACAGATTATGGACACCAACGCTATCAGTGCAGCCTGTCTCCCCGAGACTTTCATTCCTCTCCTCTGTAAATCCCCGCAGCCACGCATTATCTTTATGAGCTCGGAGCTAGGTAGTATAGGCGATACTCTGAACCCGGCCTCCCAGTACTAGTAGGCAATGCTTCCGCATTATGAGTCGTCAGAGAATTATCTGCTCTTAAGACAAGTTTCGCGACTCAGAAATCCACCCAAAACAGCAATGCTGACTCCGAAATCATCAAGTGGTCTCGACTCCCCAGAGTACAAGGCTTCGAAGGCAGCTTTGAACATGATCATGGCTACGAATGCGGTGAAGCTCAAGGGAGAAGGCTTCAAGGTCAATGTGTGCTGTCCTGGGCTGAATGCCACAGGACCGAGTGGAGGTATGGGAGGTACGCACATTTTGAATTTATTCTTCCTTATTTTGCACCAAATTTCGAGCCACAAGACATAGTCCGGGAGCAGAACCCTGCTCCTACTCTTGAGACCTATCTCATCAATGGAGGTTCCTTGCCTTGAATAAGCAATACTGACTCGGAGATGTGCGTAGCTCATCCTAGCGTTGGTGCTTTGAACGCTTGCGGGTTGGCAAAGGCAGGGAAGGATGGAGAACATGGGACGTTCACAAACAAAGATGGCTCATTGCCATGGTAAAGAGGCCCGCGTGATAGGTTGACTACTTTCTCCGAGTAGTGACCTGGAATGCACACGTCCAGTCTAGACATCTTGGTAAAGATGACATGGAGGCATGAAAAAGGGTCTGACCTTTGTAGGGTTGACAGTTTGTGTTCTGCCTCAGATATACGTCTCTCATAGTCCGAAGCCAGGTCTTAGGTAACACAGTAGGACAGTAGGCAAATTGTTTAACCGTCGCCTTTCGTAAATCCCATATGAAAGCTCCACCAATCCAAGATCTCGCACTCGCCCAAATCATGGGCCAATGCTTTCATCGAGTGGAACTCCTTCACATCACCACTCTTGACCAGCAACCGGCCTTGCTCCACAGTTTCCGAGCATAGAAGCTTGTAATCTTTATACCTCAGTCGCTATTTCCGTAGGATTCTCACGTCAGCGGAATGCCAGCAACAGCGAATTCTCTTGACTGATCTAGGGACGTATGTTCTATCAAGCAGAGGAGCGGATGTAACATTAGAAGCAGGAAATTTGCTACCTTGACACTCCCCACCCACTCCTTTAAGTCTAGTTCTCCTTGTCTTGATGATTTCAGAGTCAGCATTACTCTTTCGGGAGGAATTCAGAGTTGTGAGACATGTCCTAGGAACAGAGAACTCTGTAGACATGTCTGACGACTCATAAGACAGCATGACCGGGAAAGAATTGCCTCCGAAAGTATAACGTACTCTCCACCGCACTCCCCAACCATCACGCCCGGTGGGTGCACTCCAGACTTTAAATACACAGCACAATTGCACTTCTTGGCGGCCTTGGTGATGGCCGTGATCTTTTTGCGGGACGTCATGTGGTGGGTCTTTATCAATGCACGATAGAGCATCATAGCGAGGGACCTCTCATTACTCTACTTCTCGAGCAGCAAGACTTTTGCAAGGCGACTGAATAGGGGTTAAATAGTTGGTGTATAATGGATGCATTTTTTCCTCGGAATTTAAATCATCTTCTGAACGTAGGGCAAATTCATTGGAGTGGGCATTACGCGATTGAGGCAAAAATTGAGGAGCTAATTGGTAGCTTTCAAGTAGTCTCGCCTATCTTCTAAAGAGCTCTATAGACATGTTGACCGCCATTGAGGCAGACACGAATCGCTCAAACTTCGTCGACAGCGTCAACGTGGTATCATAAAACAACCCTGCTGCACCGACACGCCTGATTCAATTGAGAGGAATGCATAATTTCGTTCCGCTAAATCGCTTCAGGAATCCGAAAAGAAGTCCTTGTAGTCTTGATCGCATGCTCTTAGGCATCAACGGTAGAGAAGCCGGACATCGGGAGCGCCTGCCTGCTTCTCACCGCCCACCCTTTGAACGCAAGGACAAAGATGGCCCAAGCCATGAGTAAGGACGTTAATCCCATTGTTACAGTGAAAGGAAACATAGCATGCAGGTTGTAATGCTCCATAGCCGCAACGGTGTCCTTGTTGCTGGCCATGAATATCAGACCGCCCGATATGAGGCAGAAAGAGCTAATGATCTCCGAAGGTGGACGTGATGGCAGACATGACGATGGTGGGGCCACATATTGTAGGACGTAGGTGACCGCACGTGCCATTGCAAATCCGACAAACAGGGTGCCCCACTGCTTGTGGATCATAGTGGATATCATGGACGCTTGGTGATGGGAGCTCATCATTAGACCTAGAAGAAGAATGATCAGGCCTGGGAATGGATTCATGGAAAATGAGTACGTCTTTGGCGCACTCGAAAGCTTCTTGTCAGCTTTCGCGGCCGGGGAAATTAAAATTGCCGTGTTAAGCAGGTCACGAACCCGCGTCGACTCGATAATCATACCGCATAGGCCACCACCAAAGAACATGATCGTAATCGATACATGCTCCAAGTCTTGCGCACTCCATGCATGTCCCCATGCAGCAAGATGTTCCAGGAAAACGTTGGATGCGCCGTAGAGGAAGATAACGAAAGACTCGACAAATTCCGCGGAGGGCATCGTAGCCATCCGACGGCTGACAACTCCGACAGGCGGCCGGACGTTCCATGCCCAGCCCATCTCGCTGAAGCAGCCCATCCAACGTCCCAGGGTGAGAAGTCCATACCAAAAGAATACTCCGCCTTTGACGGTATGCGCAAGACCATTGAACACGTTGTTGCCGCGCTATGTGAAAGTCAGCTCTGACGGTGCCTTGGGTGAGAGTACTGATCATAACTTACGAATACGCCTCCGTAGACCACTGCACCAGATACGATAGCAGCGAACCCAAGTACCAGGCTCACGCAATCGATGGCGTTATAGGTAACATTTAGAGCTCTCATTGTTCGCTGAGACACCATAGCGGCTATGCGGGATGCGAGGCGCTGCGCTTTCGTGTTACTCAAAAAGCCCTGCTTCTCTAGGTACTCTGGCTCCGTATCTGCATCATGGTTCTGATACTCGAGGAACTTTTCGTGCTCTTCGTTTTCGTGGTCCTGTGTTGACGAGATAGACTGGCTGCGAGAGGCTTCTGATGCTGTAAAATGACCACTATCACGCGAATAGCGATACTCGTCTGGGGAGTAAATTGCCTGGTGGTGTTGCGCCAGAGCTTCGATGGATATGGGCAAAAACGCAGCTGGCTCTTCATCATCAACATCCAGAGGTTTCTTGAAACTGACAGCCAACTTGACAAGTCCGATAATGCACTGCGCTACGACGATCCAAGTGACAATCCACCCAATCTTAGTGTGAGCGTTGTTCTGATATAGGTCGGGCGTTTTGGAGCTGTAGGCAGTCCCAAGCAACAGACCAACTGAGTGCAACCCTAAGAAAGATAACTGAGCAGGGAGAGCAAGCCGAGACCGCGCAACACTTAGCATTACGCCTAGAACACAATGATTAGCAGAAGAAAAGATGTTGCCATTCAGACGTGTGCTTGCCAATGGGCAGGACGAAGAGCCATGCAGCGGTCATGACGACGATATGCCCCAACATCAAGCCGCCTAAAGCTGGGTAGGTAAAGTAGCTCTGCAGCGAAGCGCTCGACGAGTTCATGCTTGCAGCTGACATGGAACTTGGCGCAGACCCTATATTTGCCGTTTTGCCAGCATGGTCATCATGACCATGCGCGAGAACCACAGATGTTGTCGCTAGCAGCAAGATCGCGCCAATGAGTCTGAGACTTGATGTATGTACCATTAGGTAATCTTTTCCCTCAACTTCTTGATATGATTGTTTCTTCCTTGTTCCACTGCTATTTGTAGAGTGAGCGGTAGTGCTTGTGTGAATGTGAAGTTGAAGGGATGATTAGGTAGAGTGCAAAAGATCAGATAAATGAACAGGGGCTTGAGTGAAGCTAAGGTCAAGTTACATTCAGGCTGTAGGAGGAGTGAGGAATTTATTAAGAGTGCTGAATGCCAACGTGATGACATTGCCAGCTGACTCGGATATGTCAGCGACATCCCCGGCGGCCACGGTCGGAAGCCTTTCTTTCTCAGTTTACCTTGTGATGTAATTGATGTAAGGATGCGAGTTGTAGAGAAGTCGGTCTTGGAAAAGGCTGGAAAAGTTCGGAATCTGCTCTCCAATCAAAACGGAATGCTGTCAACTTATTTAAATGTTAGAGGCTAACACTGAGTACATCCGAGCATAAAGCCCTTTGTCTCGCCTTGTCCGACGTCTCACAGGATAAGTATGGTGAGAGAAGGAAGCCCGTGTGTTGCATCGAGCATCTTTTGATTGATTCACCGATTGCTTATCTTTCTTGGGCAGATGACATATGTGCTAGTCATGGTACATGTAATTAGTCGCCAACAACATGACAGCAGTATCAGCTGCAAGTCTCGGAATCTTCGGCTTCCACACCCTGCCCACCTTCTTACGCTTTCCATCTCACAACTTGCCCGGCGCCGCAACGATCCGTACTTTTCTTCGCAAACGCAGTCATGATTAAGTAAGTATGTATTTCAGCGGTCTGTGGGTAAGGTTCTCATAATCCGCCACTCTTGCGGCAAGCCTCGATGCTTGACTCACTGCTTACCTTATCTCCGCCGGCCGCCGGCCTTTATTAATGCCTTGCCGAAGGAGACCAAAAGGAACCGCAGAAGCACGGCAACCCCTCTTTGCACCAGCAGCACCAGTGATTTATGCGTTTCCTTTGCCAAGCTTCTAAATCATTTACGCTCCTTCACAGCCTTAAATAACGATAAATATCCTGTTATTCCGGTTACTAGATCACAGCGTAGGTCCATCATTCGCGCTGTAGGGCAGATGAGCTAACTTATGGCGGAGCAGCTAGACGCGTAATAGTTTGTGTGCAATTTACCTATAGTAACGGTATTGATGAGTAATTTTCAGAACGATTTGATGGCTACGGAGTACTTACAAGTAGATAGCCAAATTCTGGGGACCTTCTATATTGTAAAATGTCCCTCAATTTCAGCACGGCTGAGCTGTTACCTGATTTCTACTTTTATTAAACGGAAACAAATATTGCGATGGAGAATTTTCACAGCTTTGAGCCTCGTTATTGTCATCTATGTATTAATATCCAAATGTTTCTAAATACGCCAGAAACCCCCCTCGGCCTGCCGTACCTATGGCAGCCTATACCGACCTCGACCGACTAAACCCTTGACCTCAATTTAATGAGCTGGCAAAAGTGCTGCAATATGCCAAAACGTTTAAGACGGAGATTTTACCCTTATTCATAGTTTCCGGTTAGTGCTAGCACAATGAAACAATGAAACGTCAAAACACCAGCATAAGCACAGTAGCATGAGTATAAATGATTAGGCTGTTTCAAAGCCTGGGCCAGCAGACTCATAGAGTACAGGTGATTAACCGATCGTCTCGTTCTCAGGGGGGAGATGATGATGGGAACAGCGTGGATGCCGACAAAGGAAGTTCGACAGGCGCTCAATAAAGCCATGGTGTGGTATTGCAAGGTTAACGTGACGAAAACAGCTAGAGCAAAATTTGTTGATTTTTGAATTTCTAAACAGATGTATTCAACTTCCACGACATTCTTCTAGATAGCTGCTGTGATGGCCGGCTGTGGTGGGCGAGGGTACTGATCGTCGCCTTGATCGAGCACAATGTTGCTATTTATGCTGATTCTGCTGATAAAAAGTCGTCCTCTTGTACGGGGTATTTAGTTATTTGATAGACAAGAAAGACTGTGTAGCTCGAAGCACTTTGTCAGTTACAAATTTCAATTGGCGACAAAATCTCCCTGGTGCAGAAATTATCTCAATCTTGGCCAAGTCTCTCTTCCTAATCCTCGGCTCCGGTACCATGAAATGGCATCTGATGGTATCAAGCAACTTTGCCGTATAGCCCTTAAGCACGAAGATTTACTACTTAACGGATCACTTACACCAGCATGCTTACGCCGTACTCTCTGGTCCGCAGTCCTCTATATCCGTACTCAGCGTGCCCTTCCCAGCATTATTCAGTCCACCCATCTATACCACTCCTCCATGCTGCTTCCCCTATCCACACCTACCACAGGCCCAATATGACAAACCAAGCTCATACGTCCCTCACACGAGTCTTGAGTCGCAAGTAGTCATACAGGGAGCCAGGCTCCTCTCGAACGTAATGGCAGATTTGATTTTTTTGGAGTGAATGGTCGAGTATGATGACGCTCTGGCGCAAAAATCTCCAACAATGGCTCATGACCTTGAAGGCTCTAGCCAAAGGGAAGGGAAGGGAAAGGATGGGTTGGTATGGATGATTACAGCACTCTTTCGATATTGCATATCATTGACTCATGGGTGCGATCAGTAAAGACGCTCGGTACAAGCGGGGAGTCTGCTACTACCGCTTACGAGTACTCCACTCGCAAATTGATCCGTGGTGGGGCTGCTGCACATTGTTTAATCCACTCCCTGGCTCGGCTAGACCATCTTTCCTTGGCTCGGAGAGTCTCTAGCTACCACGGCAATGTACTTATCAAGATAATGCTCTATGCTGAAGGAGATCAGGTCCCATAGCTGGAGATCCACCGAACAAAGACAGAGCTGGAGAACTGAAATCAAAGCGAGTCGGGTAGCGACGGAAGAGGAAAGATGGAGCTAGATTCATTGCAGTGATTTAAGTATCCCAGCACGTTGTTCCATATACAGAGCACCCTGCACAGCCTGTTTCAACTTCCTCCTACCATTTAACAAATGGGAATAAACTGCAAAGAATTCGTCCCGGCCGTTTCCACCTTTCCATTCGCCTGCACATGGCAAGCTGACGGTGCGTACGCGAATGAATTGCTCCCGGTACATTCGTGGCCATTCCAGACCTGGATAGCGACATCGGTCGAGGCATAGGTTATACATTGGCAGTTTGTTTGAGTGTAGCAAGTTGGGGTTTGCCCTGGTGTAGCCGCGACGTTTGTGGTGTTGTAGGACCAGAGCGCGGAGCCCGAACAGTCCTTTTGCGGCCAGCAGGTCACGTCTACTTGGTTGGTTGTTGGTGCGCTGCCTTATATCAGCTGCTTATAGACAGAGAGCGAAGGTCTGATCATGTTCCGACGAACCTCGCTGTCGGGATCGTGCTTAGGGCACTCGGCGGAATAGATACGGTGATTGGCGTGTTTGCGCCCTGATTGCCTATTGCCGCTGATGACGAAAGAAAACTCGCAACACCTATAAAGATAAATGCGATTAATCCGAGCACGACTCCGGCCGGTGACGGCGTAAATCTCTTCTGAATAGATTGCTGGCTTCCGACAATCTGGGCCAACGCATTACTGCAATCCGAGTAGTCGAGTCCTTGGGGTTCGCAATGTGCTTGGTATGCGGTCCTGAGCTGCGCTGAGGTCGTAATTGAAAAGACGACAGTGAGACCTCCCGTGGGAATAGGGCCCCCAGGGGTGTAGCTGGTGGGATACACCTCGAGATCGGTACCAGGAGGGGGTGCAAAATTCGTCTATAACTCGTTAGATAAGAGATTGGCGGTACCCGGAGAACTTTTCTCACTGTGGACGCAGTAGCTTTGATGAGAGCCGCCTCAGCAAGGGGAGTAATGTTACGAGGCGCCAGATCAACATAATGAGGCACCGCCGCAGCATGTGCAAAGTACAGTGCATCGAAGAGGAGGAAAAGAAAGGTGAGTGCCTGCATCTTGAAGATCAGGCCGTATGATCTAAGAAGTAAAGATTGGTAGTGAAAGAATGAAAAGCAGGAAGCGAAAAAGGGAGGAGATGTAGAGTTGTTTAAAAGAAAACCGTCAAAAGATGGAGGATGGAGATGGCTTTGTAGCCTCTAGCACCGAGGGCACCAACCTCATTTCCATGAATTACGAGCGAGGCGAAGCTTATTGATGCCAATTCATTGATACGAGCGAGCGAGGTGGGGCTTTTTGATGGTTTCTTGTCCAACAGCCCAACAGCCTAATTCCAACATTGCCCGCCCACAACATTAGGTAACGCCAAATTCGTGTCAAACAGGCGACTTTAGGGATCTGCGTAATAATAAAGTAGGTATGAGGAAAGCATGTACAAAGACATTCGGTCCTTGTCTATTTAAGTGGTGATACTCGATTGAAGAGTAGACGCCAAAAGGCGTGTTAAAAATAAATGCCCGACTGATTTACGAGTTGCAAATGTGAAACTCCTAGATCACCGAAATTCAAACCATTGTGTAAGCGCGGCGTCGGGCGCTAGATGAAAACCTTAAGTCTACTGCCACTACCGCGGAGAGTAGGATATGGAGGTGTATTCTTCACACTGATAGGGAGAGAGCATCCAAGAGTTGTGATAGCAGCCAAAAAGCGAGGGGAGAGCAGCAGAAAGCGGAGGGCGGCGAGGGGCAGGCTAGCCAGATGCGGCACGCTTTACCGGATGAAGTAATTCACCTGCACACATACTACGCGGTAAGAGAGAGAGCTCGGACACAGTCTATGCTCCTCGTCGCCATGACCATGCCTCGCTTTCAAAATTTGCGTACAAACTGAAATCATTGCTGAGTCGATTCTGAGCATGCTGAGGAGCATAGGTGGTCGTTGTGATTCCAGGGTACAGCCTGAGCACGAGCTCCTTTTGATGATTTCGGAGTCAGCATTCTCTACTCGGGAAGGGTTTTCGAGTCGTGAGCAACTGCCTAGACGTGTCTCAAGGCGCAAGGTTTGGGATGAAATAGGCAATTAAGACTCAGAATATTCGTACCTCCATCCTCTCGCCGGTGCAGACGATGATCCTTGGGCTAGGTATATCTGCGTCTGGTAAGGCAGGTTTCGAGAGCCAGCGAATCGTCATGGCGGCTGTCATACAAGCAGTCAGCCGATTGTCCTGTTGCGCTTTTGTCACGAGCTTTACCTTTCGTCTGACAATCAGGACTCAGGAATGGGGGATCGCAGAGGATGCAGTCATACTTGCCCTTCATGTCACCTGATAAGCGCTGTTAGATGTTGACGACTACTAACGAACGGACAAGGTTGTCGACCGACCAGGAAGCGCTAATGGATGTTCAAAGTCATAATGGATGAATTCTCGGAAAACGTCAAATCGATGGTCGAATTCGAGAAGGCAGATACTCGAGACCTGGTACTTGTCTGAAGCCTGACATCGTTTAGCCAGAGATGAACAAGATATGGGAACTGCGGAATGTTATTTGACAATCAAGTTTTTGAGCTGCACGAACACACTCGGCGCAGAGATCTACGCAGCTCTTGGAGTCAGTATTGTTTCTTCGAGGCAGAAAAGTGGAGTTGCAAGACAGGTTTTGGAAGTAGAAAGGTCCCTTTGCTCCGGAAAGTCGTCGTGTGACTCAATTTCAATACCGAACAGGAAGGATCGGCTCCAAGATGTACGTACGATACAAATATTGGTTGTAGCAGCAGTGGAACCCTGGAGAAGTTGTTTTGCAAGGACACTCGCTGTTTCGTCGCTGTACTGAGCACGTTAGACTCCAGAAAGGATTTCAAGATATCTGAGGCATACCCAGAATTGACTTGCATTCCAATCTTCTGAAAACATGTCCATGCTCAATTGGGCCGGAGAGCTCTTTTGCTCAATACTGCTTTTCAGGTCTTGAAAGCGCTTTTCTTTCAATTCCCTTTCCGAGTAGAACTCGTGCAATGCCGCAAGAGTATCACCGTGAAGCTCCCTAGCTACTATTAATAAACGAACTTCATTTACTATTACATCAGTCATAAGCCTTGCAAAGAATGGAGGCAGGTTGGCACTAGAAACGTCTGTCCACTATCACGTTGGAGAGGATCTCACAATTGCTCGTCATCATCTTGTTCAGTTCCGCTCATGGTAAGGAAGGGCCACCGCAGTCTCCTCGTCCGATTGTCGCGAAGAAAGGACTTCGAACTGTTGGACCCAATAGACCAATTTCCCGTAACAGACGGCGTGGAACAGAGTACTCTAACAGAGCTTCGAGAAATCCTGATTTTCGCCCTTTGTTGAAAATGAAGGGTTGGATTCTTGGAGTAAGTACAGCGGCTATTTAGAGTTGCGGGTAAGGCAATCGAGGGTGGCTCCTCGGCGACGTCGGCGTGGCTCACCGAGGGCCCGAGGCTCGCGTGCTACTGCCAGCAGCAGAAGCCAGAAGTCCACTTCATTTTTGATTGAGCTACAGCATACGAATAATTTACGATGGGCTGTGTTCTAAGCAACCAGAACGACAGAAAAGCGCAAATACCAGCTAAATTGTCGATGCAAAGATAGCGGAATTTGGCTGAGCGATCCCCACGCGAGCCTCTCAACATGGCACCTACTCTTCCTCAGTTCAATCCTGCTAGGCTGCGGTCCTATGTCTTCCGTATTCCACTCTTTACACGCATCATTTTACTTCTTATCATACTGTTCTGGATCCTAGAGTTTCAGACCGCGTGGGACATTGCACAATGGGGGGCGTTAGTGCCTTTGGAAGTCAACTTAGGCACAAGTATGTCTACAAGTGCTAGCACCTAGGAAGCGTCCCACAAATGGTGATGGACTAGAAGATATAAAGTATTCGTAAACAATCAAGCTGACCTGACACCCTTCTTTAGTGTACCGGCTGAATACATATCCTTTGATCCATTTAGGCTTCCTTCATGCCCTTCTCAATACCGTGGCGCTTGCTCCACTCTTAGAAAGATTTGAAGCCGACCATGGCACACTCTTAACCGCAGCGATGTTTGTTGGGCGTACGTATACATCCGAAGGTCAAACGAGTTCCCCATTAATTAACCAATTGTCGCTAGCATTATCCACTCTCCCCGCGGCTGCTTATCTTTTGATCGAACGTGGGCTTTTGAGGGGAAATACAGCGGTCATGGGCGCAAGGTGCGAAAAAAAAAGCCATTTGAAGAGCTGGAGGGACTATTGATAATGCTAACACCATCCACAGTGTCTGGGTTTTTGTACTTCTCGGCGCAGAGGGCATCAAAGCATTCAGGGCGAATCCGTACTTTGCGTGCGCCCACTTACACCCTTCTCTACCCTTGCTTCAGCTGACATGCATACGCAAGTATTGGCACAAGTCGCATACCGACGTGGACCACTCCGCTCCTGGCACTTGTCTTCGTCACCGCACTCGTACCAAATACATCCTTTCTTGGCCATCTTTGCAGCGTCGGCATCGGCTATATCTGTCAGTGGTCTCTCTGTGCAATTCCTTCTTGAATCGCTTTCCGTGTGAAGTGCCACGTCACTCACATGAATATACTGACAATTCCACGTACACCAGATGGCCTAGGTTACCTCAAGATCCTTGCACCTCCTGAAAAGATTCTTCGTTGGATCGAGGGCAAATTAAACCTCCTCGGTCGCCTTCCGCATTATGTCTCTATAGACCAGAAAACATATGGAAGGTATGGCGTGCTGCCGACTACGAACGCGCCTAGCGTGGACGGCGTAAATGAGGGCTCATACATCGGATCCACGGAAAGACTAGGGCCATAGTATCTCACTCTAGCCATCGAATGGCATTGTCGAAATAAGAAAGTATCATCGCTATTAATTTCGAGGAACCTGTCGTCCAGTTTGAGTGAAGCAGGTTGCGACGTACAATCTATCTAAATGTACCAAACCATGACTTTCAAGCTTTCCTGCCGTTCATATTGACCAACATCAATGAGACATACCCGAGGTCTAATGGTGGGCTTGTAGGCAACGCTTTTCTTTATCAATCGTGGTATCTTGGCAGCCTTGAAACTTTGAGTCTTTGAAGCGCTTGTGGACTCTTTTGCATTCGACTGCCTTCACCTTTACTGTAAAGAATCCACCTTCCGGCCCCAAGCGTGCATGGCCTGTCAGGATATCGTTGCGAAATACACCGTTTCTGAGCTCGACGAGCTCAAATGCCTGCTCTGACATCTCAAGAGTGGATTTCGGAGGGGAAAGCTGCATCGAACTTTTGGCATGGATTGGAAGGATTTTAGAGATTCTCGTCTGTCCTTAGCATGCTGATGAAGGTCTAATAGTTATATTTCACTGCTGTCTGCCACGGTCTAATGCTATCGCAGGACGAGCAGCAGCCCGCCATTCTATTTGTCAGCCTCTCCGTCGTCTGAATAATGCGTGCTCTAACATGTACGATTGATCATCCAAATACCCTCGTGAATTGATCCCCCATCATATACCAATAGAAAAGTAGAATGTTCGTCCGAGAAAGTGGAGTCCTCACCGCAGTAGCTGGCAAAATATGCGGAGCAACAGGGACGCCGCCAGATGCGTTGTGGGATAGCGAGGCCAGAAGACATCAAAATTGTTCAAAATTGTGGCAGTCGTTGGAATCATATACAAAACAGATTTCACAAGGGTTTCACTTTGACCATGTTTGTCAAGAATTGGGCCTTCCTCGGCACGGCAACTTTTCATGTTCGTATAAATTTGGATTCTTGACACCGGACTTTTAACCGTCAACCGTGATGCTCCACCATGGCTTTTATATGTAAGTCCTTAAAAGAGATAAGTAGCTCCCGCGCATACTGTATGTACTAATGGCCATAGAAGCTCCGACCATCTTGGCATTGCGACGAGACCCGCGCCTCCTGAAGCTTCCCCCGTACCTCTCAGCTCTATGCATCTTCATAGGGGTAGTCTGGCTCTGCCTGCTCCCTCTTAACGAATATTCAAGACACACGTACATTTCTGAGAATGCTCTCCTCCCAGGCCAGGTGCACACGTATTTCGGAGGGAGCGAACAGAATGTTTTCAATGCCTACAAGTACGAGATCCAAGCTCTGGTTGGCAAGGATCAGGAAGCGTGCGTATGCAGGAGTTCTGCTAGAGTACATATTTTCTAATAGCCGACTGCGATCAGGATCTATGAAAAGCTCAGTGACATTTTCGAATCAGCCAACTTGAGACCTGCGAGGCAGAAATACGAATACCACGCTGCAGGCACTACCTACAGCGGAGAGAATGTCTATGCTATACTTCATGCACCACGGGGAGATGCTACGGAAGCTATTGTGCTCGTTGCTGCCTGGACGAACATGGATGGGGACTTGAACCAGAGCGGAGTGGCTCTTGCATTGGCATTGGCAAGATATTTCAAGCGATGGTCTCTCTGGTCGAAGGACATAATTATCCTGATCACTGGCGATAGTAGAGCTGGACCTCAAGCCTGGGTTGATGCGTATCACGATGAGCACACGTCTTTCTTTGTTGCCCCTTTACCGCTGAAAAGTGGCGCATTGCAAGGCGTCGTGGTTATCGATAATGCCCTCGACCATCGTTTCGAGTCTTTGCACATTGTTTACGACGGGATCAACGGTCAGTTGCCAAACCTTGATCTATTCAACACTGCAGTCTCCATTGCCAGCGGGCAGTTGGGTATTGGAGTTTCCCTCCAGCGCATGTGGAAGCACAATGACAGCTATCAAGAACGTCTACAGACAATGCTACGAGGCATGGTCAGCCAAGGATTGGGCCACTCCTCTGGGCCACACAGCAGTTTCATTCCTTACCATGTCGACGCCATCACGTTGCAGGCCGTTGGCGACGGCTGGCAAGACGAAATGGCAATGGGCAGATGCGTAGAGAGCATATTTCGAAGCCTCAACAATCTTCTCGAGCACTTCCACCAGAGCTTCTTCTTCTACTTGCTCATGCAGGCAGACCGCTTCGTCAGTATTGGAACTTATCTTCCAAGTGCTATGTTGGTGGCAGTCAATTTTACCATCATGGCGATCGCGTTGTGGATTCGCAGCGGCCGACCGCCAGCGCCAAAGGTCGCAAGTACTATGCCCGAAAAAGAGAAAACCGAAATGGAGATAGTCCAAAAGGATGGCATGACAGCAATCACACCCAAGGAGAATCTGACCATACTCGAACGCCAACTATTCTTGCCTGTAGCCCTGGTAGTGTCGCTCCACTTCCTCGGCGTGATACCCCTCTATGTATTCATCAACTCGTCTCGCAATGTAAGTCCTGAATCGCCTTCCTGTCTTGCAGCACAGGCTGATCTTCATCCCAGACTCTCCCCTCTTGCTTCCTCCTCTTCACCTTTCTCAATCTTATCCTACCAACTGTCCTGGCGACCTCCATCCACCGTCACACGCCGTTAACACCACAACATCATTTACTTCTCCAGTCAATCTCACTACTTGTCCTAGGCATGTCTCTTGCCACGCTTGCCACCTTGAACTTCTCGCTTTCACTGTTCATTGGGCTCCTGTCGACGCCTTTGACTTTCACGGGGAACCCTTTTTCATCCTCCGTTGATGCCAAGGATGTCTTTCCTTCCAATGCTCGTAAATACATCTCGACCCTCGTATTGCAGCTTCTGTCCCCACCAGTAGTGGTATGGGCTGTATGCTATATATGGGGTGCTGACTTAGGTGAGACATTGGCAGAGGCAGCGTTTGGCTGGAAGGTCAATGGGCTGTGGACCCAAGTTGTTGTCTGGTGTGTTTGGTGGCCCGCTTGGATGATTGGAGGTGTTCTCGTTAATTAGGATAGAAAAGTTTATACAATGATAAAGAATTTGGAAGATATGACGGAGACTCATTCATCTATTAATTTGCACGGCGGAACTTGTATGCATTGATTGATTCCATATTTGCAGAAAGTACCGGCCAATCTGGAGCCAAATGCTGGTTCCTTGTGCTCATATAACTTCTTAGGACACAGAATTTCAGAGTTTGTTTCGGGTCTATTGCATTGTGCCGTACGCTTTCAAATCACGAACGCTTAAAAGCTCCGAGAAATGCTGGTGGTCTCTTCGGCCGTCCTCCCATTCTGATTCAAGCAGCCTATAGGATATTAGAGTCAGGCTGTCTCTTGTGGGACCAGATTGGAGGATTGCTTTCATTCCTTTGACAAGCCTCGGAACTCAAAACGCAATACGAATCAGGAAGACATGGATTTGAAAAGCTAACTCACCCAGACGTCTTTCCCTACCCCCTCGATCCAATTCCCCAACTGATTGACACTGCTATCCCACTCTCTCAGTCGTACCCTCATCCCATCGATTTGCCCAGGATCCAACACCTTTGGCTGTACCCAGTTAACCCGTGCAATCTCCGCAACTTGATCGATACTGCCCCTCAAAAGCCCCAAACTCAAGGCCTTCATGATCAATATCTCGATCTCCGCCGGCGCCACGTTCGTCTCTCTCGAGATCGTATGGAATGTCATGGCCCGGTCGTGTGGAGGACGGCGAAATACTGCTTCCGTAAGTGCGGACAGGGAGATCTTCTGGTACAAGAACTCTTTATGTTGCTCAAGCTGCGGGGCCTTGGACAAATTCGCTTCAAGGACACTGTAAGCGGCCAGATCGCCGCGGTTGAACGCATACAGGAGATCTCTGAGCCAAGCGTGGGCAGTCGACGCAAGAGTCTCAAGAACGGGATGCAGCAGGAGTTCCCCGAAATTGTAAATGGCATCAGAGACTAAAGCCGCTATGCTAAGGTCGTAAGCGCGGGATTGGGCGTCTGTCTGAGTAAGTGTAGAGAGGTCGATGCAGGCGAGGTAGAGGAGAGCATTCTTGTAATAGGCGCCGAAGTCTTCGTTGGCCTGTCATGGTCAGCAAAGGATGTTGTTCAGATGAGATATGAGGCTTACTTGGTAGTAGCTGGCATTAATGCGGTAGAACGTCGCATGGACCTCGGTTTCAACGGAGTCGAACGTATCAAGTATTAAATCTGCCGTATCGAGGTCTTTACGAGCACCGCTCAAGTCATGCAATTGTAACTTGACCTCCGCCGCAGCTACCAAGGCGTAGACGTAGGCATCTTGAGACGACGGTTTGTTGACCTTCTTAGTGAGATCTGTAAGGAAGCTGAGACGCTCATTGTCATCTTTACCATAGTTAGGGATTATGTATTAACTTCCTGGGCAAACTACAATACGAACCTTGACATTGCGAAGCTGCTAGGAATCCCAACGACACAAATTTGAGCTGATTTATCTTCTCAGCGAAACTCAGAATGAATTTGCGGAACAGGGCCAGTCTTTGCGGGGCGCTGGCAATGGTATTGAAATATTCGACAAGTACATCGGTGAGCTGATGCCACAGCTTTCGGTCCCAGTAGTCCTCGATCGTCAAGAAGCTCTGCTGTAGGTCTTCTGGCGCAGCCTCTCGCTGTTCGGAGAGGAAGTTGGAGATAACCTCCGGATCCATAGCTGACTCTCGTTCGAGTTGGAACCCTTCAGTCTTGGTTTAGCTAGGTCCAGATTTCGAAGGTGCCTGTTGGAAAGATCCTGCCCACCTAAATTTCATGAAGCCTTCAAGCTCGCGCGGCTGCGAGAAGCGCGTTAGTGCGGAGTTTCTTATCCCCGTCCGGCGTCGCAACAACTCAATCTGCGCTCTTTCTCCCCGGTAGAAGATGGTCTGATGGTCCAGCACACAATCATGCAGAAGTGTTGGGCCCAACAGGGTTCCAATAGCTTGCGTTCTGCAATCAATTCCCGAAGACCACTCAACGCGGCCCTTGTCTTTCGGAGAACATTACGGGATGTAGCTATCTCGAGGACGGGAAAGCCAATCATTAGGATACAGGGTGGCAGGTAAGCTCGAGCGCCATTTTGCAAGTTTAATATCGCCTGAGACGTACTCATAAATTACCCTTAGGTCCTCACTTGGAGGTATGCCTTCGCAATGCCCGCCGTAGGACTACGTTGATCAGTATCAGGACATACCGCAACAGTCTTCGGGGCTACAGGCTTCTTGGGGCGCTACATCGTTCACAGGCTAGGTATGAAAATGGGGAGAGTTGACTCTTACGGCATCAGCTGACGGAGGATAGCCTCACGAGGATGTACCGTTGTCATACCTTTTCGCGAAGAGATGGCAAAACGGCATTTGAAGGTTACAGGCGATCTGGGCAGAGTCGTGTTCATGGTGAGTCTTTCGGTGGCCTTTTCCTTTCCCTAGAGGCTGATAGTCTTTGCGGGAATACGACCTTCGAAATACGGCGTCCCTAGAAGAAAGCGTTCGACATTCGGATGTCGTTTACAATCTTGTTGGACGGGACTATCCTACCAAGTATGGCGTATTCGAATAATCAGAAAGACCTGTACTGATAGTCCGTAGGAACTTCGATCTTGAAGACGTCCATGTCGAAGGCGCAGAACGGATAGCCGAAGCCGTTGCCAAATACGATGTTGACCGCTTCATTCATGTCTCGTCCTATAATGCGAATAAGAATTCACCATCAGAATTTTTCCGTACAAAGGTATTTTGAAGTGAGCTGAAAACAGTAAAGCCTGCTGAGAAGTTGAAAGGCTCGTGGAGAGGAAGTAGTACGCAATATCTTTCCCGAGACAACAATTGTCAGACCGGCCCCTCTCTTTGGTTTCGAGGATCGCTTGCTGCACAAACTTGCGGGCGTAACGAATCTGTTCACGTCGAACCACATGCAGGAAAGATTCTGGCCTGTACATGTGAGCGTCTTCTCTCATCTACTTAAGCGTCTATGGCAAACTCTGATGCTCCTTCAGGCCATCGATGTGGGCACTGCTCTATCACTTATGTTAGAAGACGACAATACAGCATCCGAGACCTTTGAGCTCTATGGCCCCACCAACTACTCCATGGCTGAAATAGCAGAACTGGTTGACAAAGAAATCTACAAGAAACGTCGGCATTTGAATCTTCCCAAACCTCTGCTGAAGCCGGCGGCGAAATATCTTAATAGATTCCTGTGGTGGAAGACCACATCTGCGGATGAGGTTGAAAGAGAGTACATTGATCAAGAGATCGACCCGAAGGCTAAGACCTTCAAGGACTTGGGCATGGAGCCGGCTGAACTGAAGAATTTCACGTTTCATTATCTGGTCAGTTCCCCGGAGGTGCCCAAGATATGGGAAGTGATAGACTGACCCGACTGCGAAATTATCAGCAAGGGTATAGGAGCTCGGCTTTCTACGATCTCCCACCAGCTACAGAGCGGGAAAAGAGAGAAGAGAAGAAATACCTGCATGTCATTGACGATCAGTGACCCGCTGTCGCATTTAGTTGGCGCATTGCTTCATTATGTACATACGCCACAGATGTCATAGAAGGCGCCAAAGAAGAGAAAAGCCTGAGATGAAGAAGCTTCCTCTAGTGTGCGCATGGAGTTCTCGAGCCATATGCCAGCATTTGTGAGGGATTGGGCTTGGAGCGTAGCGGGACTCTGTAATCGCGGCAACCGTTGAATTTGACATTGCCGTAACGGAGTACTCTACGGAGTACTCGTAGTCTTCACAGAGGTGAAGTATTCTAGAAATAGGGACGCTCAACCGAATCTCAATGTTGTGACAGATGACATTGTATGACTACGTGGTTTGGTGGTTCCTCATCAAGCTGTACTCGGTGAATACCTAGTCATGGCATATGTACAGTGAGTTGAGTTGGGCTTTGACTACCAAAAACCTTATTTCTGCGCTTATCCCATTTCTGCGCTTGTCCCATAGCAACCCGCAAGTAAAAGTAAACACCTGCCACATTATTGAAGCCCGCCATGCTGCTTGCATATCCTAGTCGCTGCGCACCCTGGGGAACCTAAGCTGGATATCAAGACATTTCTCCTCGATATCAACACATTACCTTTACATCGATACCACTACTACTATCCAGAGATACCTTCTGACGAACCTACGAGACCAAATTCTACCATTTCTTCCATATTCTCTTTCAACAGATCTAGCTCCTCCACATTCCACATTTGCGCTACCATAAATATTCCACGGAAAAACATCAAGCTGTCCAAGGACTGAGCGGACACAAAGGTATTGTCCTTTTCGAAGGACAGGTGCGCACAGGGCAATTGGGAAGACAGTTCAGTGAGGCCGGCGGTGAAGCCCAAGGACCATCGAGATGGCGAACATGAGATTCGTCATGAGCTTTCGGAGTACGTCCTGCTTCCAAAGATTTGCCTTTAGAGCGATCGTCACTAACATCTCACTTCAGGGGTCTTACCATTCTTGGGCTATCACCATGTTCTCATGATCCTCATTGCTATAGCGATCATTCTGCTCTGTGGGCCTCCCTGGGAATCCCCTCCGAGGCTGCTCTTGACTGACTCCGAACTAGCACTCCTCCTAGCAGGCTGCTCTTCCTCCTCGCCTCTGATTCCCAGCATATTCTTGATATCCCTCTATTATAAGTCCTACCCGCCGAGCTTCGATCCCTCACAGGTCGACCCTGGTGTCACAACGGCAATTGCCAACATCGTTGGACAAGCGCAACTCGAAGTCCGTGTTGGCTATTTCGGTATATGCATCAACCCCGACGGTGGATCATTTTTGTGCAGTAACAATGCGTCGAGTTTGGCGACGCAGGTTTCCGTGGACCAGGATCCGCTGAATCTTATATGGGTGGCAAATACTTTCAAGGACAGTATTGTGTTTCCGTACTTAATGTGAGTGTCTCTCCCAATTTGTCCTTTCCGCGAAGGGTTTGCTGACGCCCCTTTTCAGAATCGTCGCCATTGTCCTTGCGTTCGTCTGCTTCCTCCTCCTCGCCACTTTTCCCGGTTGGCACGAAGAGCACGATGACAACGGCTCCGACCGAGAAGTTAAACCATTTCCCTCACGCCCGGTCTCTCAAGTCGCCCTCGCCCTCATCTTCGTCGCCTCCGTCTTTGTACTAGTTTCCGTCCTATGGCAACACACGGCGTCCGTGGGAGCAAGTACGATCGCCCAGGACTTAGGCAATGGTAGCGTTAAAAGTGGAGTGGGGACCGCCGCCATGATTCTGGGATGGTTTGGATTTGCGCTATTGATCATCGTCACGATTGGTTTGTTGGTCATGATCTTGAGTATCAGGATTTTGGATCAATTGACAGACGAATGATCGATCGGGCGATTGCGAATTGCGATTGGAACAGTAGACGCAAAGCAAGGAAATTGAAGATGAGAAGTAACCTGTTTTGACGTTTTTCAGCGAGCATTACTTGGGTTGATCATGGTGGAAAAGACCGACGGCTCACATATACCCTTCCTCACCTTTATGCCGACTGTACAGCGCATCTAAATCATCTCCTCGGTCGATCAGAGTTGCATTTTCAGGGGTCTGGAGCGAGCAAATACCAACCAACATCAGAGAGCGATGTGTTCTTCCAAACCACTCTTGCCACAATCCTGGCAACGGGCCATGGATGTAGAGACAGGCATCATTATCATTATACATAATGCAAGAAAACGGAATATATACAAATGCGTATAGAGTATGAACAAGCAATAGGACAAGTGGAAGCCGGGGGGGTCTCATTATAACAGCCTACCTGTAGCCTGTTAGAGCTCCCATTGTGATGCTCCTCTCGTCCAGTGTCCTCAATATTAATGTAGCGCATACCGGAACCTTAGCGAGAAGATGTCATACAGACTTATTTGCCGTAAGGTAAGCCTCCGCCGCCCAGGGCAGGAAACGCCGCATTGTAGTTGTCCCCACCCGGTACGTAATCATCGTAATTTGGCTCGCCTCTCTGCGCATTGTAGCGACCACCACCGGAGCCCACGTCGTCAAGCGATTTATAGGCTCCTCTTTGCCCACCTCCCCTTCCTCTGTTGTGACCACCTCCGCCTCGACCAGGACCCACCCCTCTGCCACCTCTATTATTATTATTACCTCCACTTCGTCCACCACCTCCGCCACGACCTCGATTCTGGGTGCCGCCTCTATTTCCGTTCCCGCCATTGAGTCTTCGATTCTCGTCATTACCATGGCCGTTCCTATGGATTTGCTGAGGTCCAGGCGGCGGACTATGCCGTCTCTTGAGATTTCTCCGGTCGAAAAGACTATCATACTCACTTTCGCCTTCGGTCTCAGGCTCCACTCGGAGCTGCACTTTCTCGCCGACCGTGGTCTGAAACACGTATTGCTTATCTGCACTGACTGGCTGCCAATTTTGGATTCGATTTGCGTCACCAGGCCGCGCGGTTTTGTGGTGAGCCAAAAGGACGAAGGGTACATGATTGTCTGTGTGAAATATCGATATAGGTGGAACAGGAGAGACGCGCGCAGCCCAAACCTTAGAGTCCAGAGAAGCAAAGCCAGTGACTTGCCAAGTCTGCTTGAAACCAATACCCCCAACTTTGTTGAGAAGAGGTGACTGGGCGGGCCCAAATGTGATAAGAATATTATTTGCAAGGAATTTGACATCGGTCTCAGGCATGTTGGGATGAGGCTTGACGAGGGTCAGGAGCTTGGCGGTGTCCATGGGTGCTATCAGGTAACCGGTGTAGAAGACCGTGCGCTTGATCTCGAGATTCCGGCCGGCTTTATTTTGAGAGTTGTGGCTGTTGATCATACGCTGGACTTCTGAGGTCTCGACGACTGGATCGAGTGTTTTCACTTGATCTGCGACTTGAATCACCTCAGCTACTATGGGTTTCCGAGGAGTTTGCGCTGCTGGGGAAAGGAGGTTGGCGTTGAAGCTCTCAAAGAAGTCACGAAAACCTTTGGTGCTAACAAGATTTTAGTATTGCATAGGAGGTCGATTAGAAAACCGCGTACTGTTTTGGTCTATCTTCGTAGATCCGTATCTCGTCCGCATCCTTATAGGTATGTACCAAATCCTCTAGGATAGCTTGTTTGTACATCATAGTTGAGCGGAATCGCTCACTGTTCGGACCAGCCTGTGGCTTCAAGCAAATCATATCGAAAGAAAGATCTTTGCTGGCAACGATGCGTTTGATCAGGTCAGCGAAGTTATGCTCGCTTCGTCCCGTCAATAGAATTGTCAGCGTGTCGTTCTGTTTGATACTGAGTCCCACGAGGTCGACCTTCGCTTCGTCAGCATTGGCCGTTCCCGATCATCCTTCAAGCGTACAATTTGTTCGTTCCACCAGCCCTCCCACGCCTTTGGCTCCTCCTTCTCAATCCCTTGACCGGTGGCCTCCAGAATACGCTGGTCATGCCACCAACCCCCATTGACGAAGCATTCTTGTGTCTGTAAGAAGCCTACAGTTTGTCCGTTCCATAGCTTCTGGTTTGGCAACGGACTCATAAACACTGAGATGGGTAAGTCCTACTCTGGAGGTGATTTGGCAGAGTTTGGAAGCTCATACAGGTATTATCAAAGTCGTAGACATGGAGAGCTTTCACTTGGTCGACAGCTGTTTCTGATTTAGTGAATTACACAGAGCAGGAGCGGGAGACAGGAGATGTAGCCTACGAGGCAGCTCTCGGCTGTGGCATGACCATCTTTTCAGGCCTGTGAGAGTATGGGAAACCACCTTGCGCTGGTTCATTGGCCCTGGCCCATTGGTAAAGGATGCAGTCATCTTCTCAAGGCACAACCTTATTATAAACATACGTCATGCTTGGGCCATTAGTCGTTCATATCTATCCACTTGTCAAGAATGTATTTTATGGAGAAGACGAGACCTGACGCTTGCTTGAAGGTTGTTCCAGTGTCTGTTCCAATAGAAGAACTCTAAGGGTACATATATGTAATATCAACGAATCGCTGCATCCTTGCCTCCGAAGTTCCGCCGTTACCGCTTTTAGCGCGCCAAGCTGGGGCCTGTGGCGCAAATCAAAGAACCCCGCGCCCAGGGCCATTTGTTTCGTCTGCTTGACAATTTAGGAGCTGCGCATGATGGAGGGGGAGGAGGATAAGAGTATCAACGTTACTAAAATAAGGGTGCTAGAGGGTACCCTCGACGAGATCAAGGCGACTACAGAGGGAACAGGCACTCATATCGACCCTTGCGTTATATGCCTTGACACGGTCTCTGAGAGAGCTGTGGCCTCCCCATGTCGCCATTACAGCTTTGACTTCCTGTGCCTTGTGAGCTGGCTTCAAGAACGCTCTGCCTGTCCCTTGTGTTTGTGTTGAGAACCCTCTGGCGAGAGATGCTCTGGCTAACAGGAGCCGCAGGTAACACTGAAGTGCACTCAGTGGAATACGACTGGAATTCGCCAGAGGACTTCAAAGTCTACAAAGTTACATCGAACACAAGAGAGAAATCATCAAGCGTTGTCCCTTCGAGACCCTCTCATTTCAATAACGGCCATGATCAGCGGCGGATTTCCAGCTGGAGACCGCGAAGACCCCGGATTCGAGTCCCAGTGAACCTAGACACCGCTTTACTGCATCGCAAGGACATTTACAGCCTCCGGCTCTACTCACTTCATGTTGGCTCGAATCGGTTATCAAGATTTCGAGACCTGACACCTCAGCTGTTTGTTCAACATCAAGAGCTAGTCTCGCGTGCAAAGAAATGGATACGAAGGGAATTGCAGGTATTTCAATTTTTGAACCCAGACGGCATTTGGGAAGAGGGCGTCACCAGAAGAGCAAACAATGCGGAATTTCTGCTCGAGTACATTGTTGCAATCTTGAAAACTGTGGACGTGAAAGGCAGTCAGGCGGAAGACATGCTGCAGGAATTCCTAGGGAGAGACAATACTCGTTTGTTTCTTCATGAGCTCAAAGCGTGGCTCCGAAGTCCATACACGTCATTGGAAGACTGGGATCGCCACGTGCAATACGATATTCCTATCACGAGGCCTGAATACAAAGCCCAGACATCTCCACATGGTCAGAGCCGAAGGAGCATGGAACAACCGCAACATAGGATCGACTCAATGCATTCAAAGGCCCCGGCTCGGAGAACCTCGTACGGACGCAGTGACCGCTATGTCCCGTATCGCGGTCATCTCCCAAGATACAGCAGCCAGTACCCCTCCGGTCCCGGCTGAGCATGATCAATATCCAAATTCAAACACCCAAGGAGCGTTCGGGCACCATCATGTGAGGCTTTCCAGTCAACGACTTAGCACGGCCGCCAGGAGGTGAGGTGGAGCTTCTTGAACGTGAGATGTCGCCCAGCGCAGGCCCGAGCACTACAATAAAGAAGAGATGAACTGAGGGGTCAATTTATTGAGGTAGACACCCGCTTTGCATTCTGAGTTTCAATCACCGTTTCCGACCGAATTTACCACCCTTCTTCCCCTTCGACTGCTTGTTCTTGATCTTAAGCGCTCTGAAGTTGGCATGCGCTGTTGCGCTGATCTTCTTCTTTACTTTCTTTGCTAATCCTTCTTTCTTTCCCAACTTGTCAACCGCATCCCTCTTACCGTTTTCAGCCCTCGTTGCTCCTTGACTACCTTCTATGTCTTTGTATTCGTCGCTGTCGCAGCCACGTTCTTTCCAGTCTATCGACCGATCAGCACTCACGGTCTGTGTCTCAGCAATACCATCTTCTTCATCTCTATTAGCTTGGCCAACTTTCCAAGCCGGTTCGGGCTTCCATTTTGCGGTATTCGGCTTCATGAGCACCCTTCTCGTCGTCCGCTTTTGCCCCTTCTTCTTCCACACCTTCAATGGCTTGCCGTTCCTTCCTTTTCCTTCGTTCGCATATTCCACGCCATCTTCATCGCTTTCAAGGCCGCCGTCGGGCCCAAGAGGCATATCCGGCCTCTGGCTATCGTTGACAAAGACCTTGGGCTGATCCAAGTGGTTTCTGGGAGTAATCTCGCTTTCCATCTCTCTTAGCATATCCAACTCTTCATCCAACCCTTCATCCTCCATCTGCCGCAATCCTCTCACGAGTGCGCTCAGACCTCGGCCAGCAGCCTTGGGCAGTCTGCGGATGGCTACTGGACTCCATGAGACTCCCGTTTCATCTCTTAAGACATTCTCCTTTTCCACGTCAGCGCGCTGGCTATCTCGCCTTAGAAAGGCAGGTGTGTCGTCGGAGCGAAGTTTCGATACTCCACTCCGCGAAGCTGGAGTGGAACAATCCGTTGTGCGGCGGGTAGAAGGGGTAAAAAGATCGTTGAGAAGCTCGCTCTTGGTGCCGCTTATGGGAGAATTTTGGTGCATTCTATCTGTGTCCTTTCGATCCTTCGGTTGGGGACGCTTGGAGGGTGTAGCTAGCATGTTGCCTCCTACCGAGCGAAGCGCTTTTCGTTTGGAAGGTGTCTGCAAGTTTGAGGATGTGGAAAGTTGATCGAAGAGCCCGAGGACTTGGCCATCCTTCTGAGGTGTAGGCCCGATCGACGTGCGGTGGATCCTAGGAGACACGTGCGTAGGAGACGGTGGGTCACTGGAGCGACTTGTTAAGGGGTGGGTATAGTGAGCGTGCTTCGGACGCTTGTATGGAGAGCGGGCTGAGGGCACAGGGTATGGGTTGGTAGTAGGCCGCTTTCTCGAGGGAGTGGTGTTGTGAGGGGTGGCTTGTTTTGAAGAAGATCTTCGCAGTCTATCATACTGCTTGTACTTGTATGCTTGGTTGCATCAGCAGATGGTTGCGAAAGATAACAAATTGAGAGCTTCTGACCTATATCGGGGTGCTGCTTGATGTCTTCGCGTCCAGCTTTGCGACCTTGATGCGCCATTGCGAAAGATTGCTCCCATTCTTTCAGTTGCAAGCGCAGACTTTTTGCCAGCGTATCAATTTCTGCGGCAGTTGCGCAGTTCGAGCCATCCATTGTCATTGTGTAAGGTCTTGGATCGATAGGAGGAGAGAATCAATCTGGCTCGGCTGGCTAGTGGAATCACGCGAGGTGGACCGCGTTCTCCGCCCGGATTTAGCGTATTCAAAATCCATGGCAATGCTTGGCAACTTAGGGGAGGGGGAATGTCTATGGATTTTGGATACGCTAAAACTTGAAATATCTTGTCGAAGGAAATGGTACCTAGTATAAGAAGGTTTCTGAGCAGTCAATGAGCAGCCAACTGCTCCCTGACTTTCATCGATGCCTTTCCAAGCTTATTCTCCCCCCCAGTCGCTCTCACACTTTACTGCGTCCTCTGTGTTGAAGCCAATTGCCCATACCTTGTTAGTCGGACTCGTTTCCACACATGCCCAGTCCTGGTGGTGCCAGTAGCACGTCCTTCAAGTTTTCATTTCGCTGAAACTTCAAAAGATTCCCTTCCTCCACAACTCCGTTGCAGTTCGCATCCCACACCTCCTGATCAAAGTTACTCATCTCCCTACTCAACGCCTTCGCCTCAGCAGGTCCTGACCCTACTAGTATCTTCTCTGCGACTGCATCATCGCCCATGAGTAGCGCCTTTCAGTACATCTTATGCTGATCCGCCGTGTGGAATTAAAGGGAGTTGCGGGTTTCAGGGTGTGAAAAATCGGGATCATTGAAGGTTGAAGGATATCACTGTTGTAAGCAGACTTCCGGAAAGGGTCCTTCATAGTCCTTGAATCACGTTCTCAGTATTAGCATACGTCTCTCAGGATATGAATTGTGGTGGTCCAAAGAAGTGGAAAGGTTTTTCTTGAAACGTCGTGTCTCACAAGCCCAATGGCCTCATTAACCTGTGAAGGATCATGAAAGAGGTACGTACGAAGACGAAGACGTTTTAATCCGGTACGACTGGGGGGTAGCTCTTGGGCGCGTTGGAGTCCCGAAGGAAAGGCAGGCTAGGCTAATTGTCACCTACCTTACCCAACGTGGACCTTGGGCCATTTTAGAAGCGGCGAAGACTGTAAGCGATATATGAATAGCTTTGAGTGGTGTAGAAGAGAGCAGGAGCTTTGAAGACTGAAATTGGTTGGCAAGGGACTTGAGAAGGGACTGGAGGTCGTGCGGGGAAGGCATGATGGCACGAGGCACACGAATTTTGTCTCGTTCTGGTGATTCTCATAATTGACATGCCAAAGTCAAGGCGATGTTAGCCATCATCTAGAAAATTACTTGTCAAGATACAGTTGCCACCTTTTGAGGTGATGAGGATGAGGTCCACTACTCTAACAATGGTATCGACAACTCGAGAAAGTCTACCTAACGGCAGCCTGAGTTGGACTTGCTGCCTACTCTGCCTGAAACTCCGGTGGAATCGGCTCGTCCATCTCGCAATATATGAACCCATGAGTCCCAGCCCTCCCAATCATAATTACTCCCCTTCCTCTCATATATCCGTCAGCCTCTACGTAGAGTCAACGGACAACGACTGCCCGCCTTTCATCGAGCCTCGCTCTCAACAAAGTTGTATATCATGACAACGGCTTTCGAACACACAGAACTCTTTGGCGGAGCCATCACAGCTAATATACCCTCCAACTTTGCCGATGTCAGGTAAGACAGATCACTATGTCATCTCACTGCCTTCACCTTGGAGAATCTCACGGTCGTCAAACCCATTCATGGTTATCTCTTTCCCAAGTCTCTTTCTTGCCGGTCCGATGAGCAGCTACTTACGTAGAGATTTCTGCAATTCCTATCTCACAGTACAAGAACCACCATTGATGCTTCGGCCAATTTCTTCACTGTTTGCATCAGCTAACCCTCATTTTTCTGACAGCAATGTTCGCCAAGTTCCAGACAATCAAGAAGCCTACCTCGACAAAAACGGCTTCATATCCCTGACTTTCGATATCACTGAACGAGTCTCTCACCTTTCAACTGACAAAGAAGCTCTGGAATACCACTTCGCTGATATCGTTGCGGAAAAAGATACTAAGAGCATGAGGTCCATTGTTGAAAACGCAGAGCTGCCTAACTTCCCGTAAGCTTTCGTCTTCTTCCACTTTCTGGTATGCGTGGAATTTTCTTCTATCATGAATACATAGAATATACCTGATGATGCTCCTGTTCATTCATCTTACTTGGAACTTTCCTGACCCCGCTTGTTCCCCCACAGACCTCCCACACCCGTTCTTGCTCTCACAGCAATCACCAAACCTCCTGCTTCGACCGTAGCTGCAAATTCTCTCACCCCTACTCATACCGACATCTATTTCACTCTCATCCGGCTGGTAGAGCAGAGCACGGATATAGTCATCACGTTGAACACACCCCATCTCGCTAGTGAGACCGAGGGCCAGATACCAAATGAGACAGAAACCGGGACACTACACGGGGAGACCGAACAGGAAGTAGGAAATATGTACCACCAGATTGTGACGAGCTTCGCGATCAAAGACTGGGGACTGTTCAGCGGCGAGTAAGTTGAGAACATAAGGCTGAAAGTATCTTAGATGGACGATACGGTAATTGCCACCCTTGTTAAATATTCAGGGCGAGGGAGAGCGGAGTATGAATGACCATGGTGCCTAGAGAGTGCCGATATGCACGGTACAACGCCCACAATGCACTATACAGAGACGTGCTCAGGTTTCTAGATTCAGAAAATCCAACTTCCTGACCACAAAATCCAGACAATCGAGCTCACTTGAACTAGTCTTCTCCAAAGCGCTATGTTTTCTAACACCGCTCGCTCTCTCAGCCTCATTCCTCTTCCGCTCCTTGAATTCCTTACCTAGGATGGACATTACTTCCCCGAAGCCTGCCTTCGGGTTCTCGAGTCGTACCCGCTCGTTTTCTTGTTTGACAAAGTCCTGATACCCACTTCGTTTACCTGCCCCTACCCCCTTCCTCGGCGCTGGCTGCACCTGCACTAATTTTCCCTTGCAATTGCCGCATGAATGTTTCGACGGGTCAATCGACTTGCTATGTCTTTTATACTCTAATCCGCATGTGGGAGACATGCAAGTCCAGATGTACTTGTATGCAATGGTGTAGCTGTGTTTTGTTGTGACGTTGATGGCGCGATGGGAGAAAGCGTTGGTGCACTTGCGTGCCCTAGAAATCGAAGAGGACGTCTCAGTACTCACTTCTTGAAGGGGAAGTGAGAGCGGCAGGGAGGAGAATTACCATTCTTTGAAGTCTTTGCCATGTGGACTATCCTTTACGCCACTAATCATGAAGTTGGCCAAGTGGCAGTATTCATGTGCTATTACGTTGATGAGACGGTCTTAGATCTTGTCAGCTTGTTTCATGATGGGGTGATTGGGACTGATTTCACCTTCATCGTCAATGACTTTCTCGGCGAGCTCGATGGATGCGTGATGACGATGGGTGGTGTTCGATACATATCCATCATCATTCTTTGAGCCTATGGCCTCCCGTCTCCAACTCGCCCTACCCGCAGTGGATGAAAGCTTCTTACTCCAAATGATATGAACACCTCCGGTTGATTGTGCCATTGAAGCAATCTGTCCATTAGTAATTGTCTGATCAAGCTCGGCCAGGAAAACGGTGCCAAGCTCATGTTTTTTCTCATCGAACAGCTTCCGTTGTTCGATAACTTTCTTATCTTTCTTTGCTGGGCTTTTCATTGGAACCTTGTGGGGACATTCAGCAGGCGATAACTCTTCGTCTTTATCCATAGAAGGAAGTCGAAACTTATGTGGAGACTCGACTATTTTCCTAGGCGAGTACTGCTCGGTCCAGTCGTTGACAAGATCTTGGCTCCAGAACGCGTCTATACTCGGCCGGTATGGTGACGGTGGCATGCAAGGCCGTTTGGAGGGCGACTTCAATTTCGATTTCGATGGACTCGATGGAGGCGTGAATGGATGATGTTTGTCTTCGGACTCATATGGCGATCTGAACTCAGTAGGGGAGCTTCACAGTACTTAGCTGTTGCAATGGCGAATTTGAACAAAGAACCTACGATGTGAGATGGCCATCTTGGTTTGGATTTGCCTCAAGCAGCTCGGATCCGAAAGGCCCATTACTTGGTGGAGACTCCAGGCATACTCCACTACTGTTCTTCTCTTCAGGTGAGATCAAAGCAGTCGTTCCAGAGGGCTGCAGTGTGTTTGATTGAGGCCGTCTAGATTCTCGAAAGCCGGGTTCTTGAGGGTTTGCTGTAGAAATCTTCTTCGGGGTTCGGCTCTTCTTCTTCTTCTTCATCTTCAGCGACCTTGGTAACAGTGATTCCCCATCACTAGCAGAATCAGGCACTATGAAACCAGAAAGATCGGTGGAGGAATCGTCATGATGATGATTCAGTATGCTTGTATTGGCCGACGCTTGAGCAAGCTTGCTATAGTCCGCAGTAGCCTTGGCTAATCTCCATGGACTGGCTCGATTTGATACGGTATCCCCTGCCTCTATGCTCCGACAATCTTCGCTCCTGGCATTACTGATTATTGCGTCGGAAATAGGGAGAAGCAGGGAGTTTACGTGAGCTTGCTTTAGATGCCCTAGAGGCCGTTGCTTCTTGGACTGCGGCTCGGTCGAAGAGACTTTAGTGAAGGTGCTCGGAGCAATTATATGCCTTTCTGTTAGTAAATCCTCGTTTGCTAAGGTCTTGGTTGCTTTTGTTTGGGATGGCATCTTGCGGTGCTCTTGCTTCGGAGTCTTGGCCAGAATTCTAATGATGGCGTCTGTCTGAGGCCTCAGTATGGTAGAAAGCTCCGGAAGTTCATCGTCACTGTCTAACGGATCATTAAGTCTAGCCATGTTGTAGCCTTGCTCAAATTCAGCTACAGATTCAGTCACTGGTATTCCAGTCGGCAGGGAGAAGTTGTGTTTACTTTCCGTTTCCTGGGGCGACACTTCCGCCAAATTGCTTCAGCAGTTCCGATTACTAATTTGCAAAGGATGCCAGTACATTTTCTGTGTTTATCATTTGTGTTTATCATTGTATTGCCTCTTGAGGCATGCATACACCCATAATGACCTTCGTTTCTAACGTGAATAAAGAAAACCATTGTGACACAGTCACTGTTAAAGCACTTCGATTCTTGAGCGCATCCTCATCTAAGCGTTTGGAGGTCCAACGGCCTGCTCTAAGGCGGCTAAAGCACGTTTCCCCCCAACAGATATCTTGATGTACGATAAATTACAGTAGGACCATTCCAGCACCAACAAACATTGCACTTGTGACATAGGCAGCAAGCTTGAGAATCCCGAAGTCGAAGGTAGGCACACTGAGTATAATTGCGGCGGCTTTGCTGGTAGAAGTGGTGCCAGAGCTAGAGCCACTGCCAGTGCTACTACCACCGGTAGGCGTGCTCGTAATAGAGCCAGTCCCTGCCGAGCCCGCCTGGCTTACAACGGCCTTGCAACTGGAGGCAAGCTTAGGGGTGACCTTCTGAGCAGTCCCAGAGAACTCGCAAGGGCTTGTGTTTTGGGTGTTTGTGGCGGTCTGGTTCAGGTAGTATTGGTTGAAGGCATAAGAGAGTCTTTCGCTGTCGCTGCACCCAGAGAATGCGCCGTACACACCGGTAGTGCCGTTGGCAAGGATACCACCGCAATTGTTGCCCTGTGCGGGATCACAGATGTAGTTGAACTGAGTTGTTATACTATCTTCACTGAGGCCAGATTTGGCAACACAAGTAAGATTCTGGACCATACATTGGCAAATGGCGTCGTTGGGAGTTGGAGGTAAGTTGGTTGCAGCTTGCCAGGTACTGGTTGTAGGACAAGCTTGGGGAGAGTTGGAAGGCGTGTAAGAGGCTGAGTTGACGCCACTTGGTGACACTTTGGCCATCGCAGTGGAGAGATTGTCGTAGTCGGACAACGTCGTAGCCTTGTTGTCGCTGCCGATTGTCACGAGCCCTGCTTTAATCAGCACCGTTGACAAAAGCACGAAGCACAGAGCTTACCATAATCGTTAGCTTCCTGGAAGTACATGTAAACAATCCCGCCAGACCAAACGGGAGTCATATCAGAGCCGAAAAGTGTGCCCACTTCATCAAACGGTCGCGGCTCAACCTTGTTGCAACCGTATTCAGCAAAGAACGCAGGAACGTTGTAGGATGAGAACTCCTGGGTCCGAGCCTCATACGAAGAGGCACTGTAGGAAGATTGCCCGCACCAGGAGTAGATGTTGTAACCCCAGAAATCGATGCTTTCCGCGGCAGTGCCGCAATTGAAGTAATCTGCAAGCTCTATCCGAGTATCATCATCGTCCGACGCATATCCAACGCCCATGGCTCGATAGTTTTTACTAACAATGTAAGCTTTCATGTCTCGAACGGCGGCCTTGACAAAAGCGCTTGCAGCGGTGTTGTTGGGAGCGTTCGACACTTCATTGCCGGCGAAGAAGCCAATGGTGTTGGTGTAGTTCGAAAAAGCATCGATAACACTGGCGTATCGGTCAAAAATTGCTTCGTTCCATTCAGGCGTATCTCGGTTGATAGATACGGCAGGCTCGCTAAGGTCGGATATGACATAGATCCCAGCCTTTGTGAGCATCTGCATACACTCGGAGTGATCTTGTGTTGGGTCAACAGCATAGACACGGATGGTATTCGTCTGGAGTCCTTGTAGCAAAGGAATATCGCGGGCACAATTCGTAGCATTTGCTAACGGGTCTGTGTATCCAGTGCCTCCAGTGGTCGTCGTTGTAGACCCGTTGCCAGAAAAATCCTCTAATGCAAGTCAGAGCTGATTTGCGTGGACGGTGGTTTCGGCGAGCTTACGTTGGTAGGCCACGCCTCTGATGAAACTGTGGGCAAAGTGGTGAGCACGCTCCTTTTGTACTGCCACGGGGCTGCCTACAATTCAGTGCCGTTTGTCTTGTAGAAAAACTTGGAGCCCTGAACGATTCATAAGGTTATCAGAGAGAAGCTGGAAGAGGAAAGCCAGTGGAAAGAGCATACTTTGATCACGATCGGGTCAAGTTGAGCGACCGCTGACGCAGCGAACCATGTGGCGGCAGCGATACCCGCCGACGCAATTCCCAGGCCCTTCATGACTACTAGTGATGGGTGTAGCGATGAAGAAGGAGATGTGGATGATGATTGAATGAATTTGTTGTTGATGATGTCAATGCAAGAGTCGAGCGTGTCCTGTTGTCCTGCGCCCGAAAGGGAATTAAGAAACACTTAACAATGAAGTGGGAAGGTGCAGGTGAACGAGAGACTCGGCCCCGCCCCAATGCCTCAATGAAGTGTCGCTCTGAGACCAAGTAGACAAACGAGGGTATGAATGAGAGATGGGAAGTGGTGAGAGAATGATAGTGAGTAATGAGGAGAAGAGAGGGTTTGACAGGAATTTTGAATAGTAAACTGTAAAGTAAGGTAAGTACTAAGTAAAGTAGTGTTGACTTCGAAACACCTATGCCATTGCCGCAGAAGTCGGCGTCTAAGCCTCTAAAACACGGCACGTACTTCGTCTTTGAGCTAAGTCGAAATAGGTAAGGTAGGTACTCCGTAGGTCATTGGTGAGTTACTCTACCTACCTATGTAGTTAGGTTGGTCCAATTTGCCTCCTCCTGAGCGAGCCACGCAAGCCTTCACGCTAATAAAAGGGCAAAGATAGACACAGGTCACGTGCACAAGCTCATACGGGTAGGACCAGCAACCGTTGCCAAGTGGTTACTGCTGCTACGGTGACCGGTGGATGGTAAGTCTAGGGCATAAATATCAAGAGCCAGCGTGTATGGCGTACAAGCCGGTGCGGACGTGGCCTTGCAGGCAGCATCGCTCTCTCTGTCTCGGCAACCGGAGCATAAGCTTTCTGAGCCCCCTATAAACCTTCATGGGGTTGAGCAAGTCAGCAGTATTGAAAACCGTATTTTATCGAGATACCATACATGTACTGTAATGCAGCGGCTGTAAATTTCCAATCTATTCATGGCAGCAGATAGGCCGTGAGACTGGGGGTGGGTGCCCCTTTATCCATGATCTTCGCGATGATCCCAGCAAGGACTTGCCACCAACAACTATTTTTATCCCCTTTTCGATTTCGCTGCCCTATCAACCGGTCCAACCATTTTCTTCATTCGATTTGCTCACAAAACAGAAAGAGGGATACCGATTAGAAAACTTGGTAAGAGAGAAGGAGGGCATCATAATGGCTTCTTCTAGCTAGTCGTAGAATCCGTGCATCGAGGAAGCCGTGATGTCTTATAGCTTGTGGCCGTCGAAACTGGCGGGATCAATTACCATGTATATCGGGACCTCGCAAACTCTACATTCCGCCTTCCTGACAAAGTTATTGAGTATTTCGGTTGGAGAAGAGTTGTCGCCCTAATGTGTGTCGGAATCGACATGAACAGTAAGTCAATAATGTAGAAGGACCTTGGCATTGTGGGAACCGACTAAGTCCGTACTTTGTGTGTGCTCTGGTGGGCGCTGTTACTCCGTACAGGCAGCAGGTTTGGGGTATGTAATATTGTAAGGTACACATGTCAACAAATTACATCAGTACAAGCGTCAGCCAATCACAACAGCTTCTGTAGGGTGTGATAATCCACCTGAGCTTAGCGGAAAATCCTGGTGGGTATCGCCGTGCTTTGTTTCTCCCTTTTCTCACCAAGCCCCCTCCTATTCTTCTCCTACCCTCACACCGTCTCTCTTTACTTCCGCACCTCAATCGATCTGCCTGTCATTGCTGCTGGCGATATCTGTCGCTCGCTCGGGGTTGTTACTGGCAGAAAAGGTCAGCAGTATCGTTCACTGGACCTGTTGGAAGGCACAGCGCAAAATTTGGTAGCGCGGAGCAACTGCGCAGTCAAACAACTTGCCTGGTCCTTCCTCCACGTTCGTTATCAACACCACACCAGTCCATCAGCAACGTCATCCATCCTCGATCATTTCAGCACTCGATAGAAGCAATCTGACATCGTCGCCATAATAATCAAGAATAGTTGTGGGGTGGATCAGACTTTTCATTCGCTTCTTGTACCCAAGTTTCAGGTTGGCAAAACAAAACTGCACGCGACAGATTGATCGTCATATTCAATCAACCCATCACCAGCCTACCGTTTTATAATCTCATTCCATTCTTGTGTTCAATGGGTAGCTTTTGAGGTAAGTTTCTCCGCGTCCATAGGTCTCTGGTTGCATCCACATTCCTTGTCTTACCAATCCCTTCTCATTGTCTTCACTACCACCCGTCTTTCTAGTCGTCGTCTAACGGTATGCAGGCACATTCTCAGAGTTTTCGGTCATCCTCAATCATGTCGGGCCATCCTCAAGACCACTACGACGATGGCTATGGCCATGAACATCAAGCCACAGATTCATATTATCAGGACGAGCACAATCAAGGCTATTACGACCAGCAGGAATATCCGCAGCATGGCGAGCCGCCGCAAGACTATGGACACCAGCAGCAAGGAAATGGGAATGGGAATGGTGGCTACTATGACGAGTCGTGAGTTTGCACTTCAAACATTGGCACACTTTTTGCTCACGAGCGACAGGGGATACTACAATGCCGATGCCACCAACCAATACCAACAGGACGGCGGCTACTACGAAGGTCATCAGCAAGGCTACCAAGACGAGTACTACAACGATCAATACTACGACCAAGGAACGCCAGCTGCAGGGCAGCAACCCCAGTATGGTCAGGGCGGCTATGGGTTTGTGCTTCTTCTATCTTCTTTGAGATTTCTACTTACAATCTGCAGAGCCAAACCAAAGCGTCGTGGTCACGATTCAGAAGAAGACTCGGAGACCTTCAGCGACTTCACCATGAGGTCCGACATGGCTCGAGCTGCTGAAATGGACTACTATGGTCGTGGCGATGAGCGTTACAACAGCTACAATGAGGGTCAAGGTGGAGGGCGTACGTATCGACCGGCTTCATCACAGATCTCGTATGGAGGCAACCGCTCGTCTGGAGCGTCAACTCCTATTTATGGAATGGACTACGGCAATGCGCTGCCTGCCGGTCAAAGATCTCGCGAGCCATATCCTGCTTGGACTTCGGACGCTCAAATCCCTGTCTCAAAGGAGGAAGTTGAAGACATATTCATGGACTTGACTGCCAAATTCGGTTTCCAGCGTGACAGCATGAGGAACATGTATGATCATTTCATGACTCTACTTGATTCTCGTGCGTCTCGTATGACGCCAAACCAAGCTTTGCTGTCTCTCCACGCCGACTACATTGGTGGCGACAATGCCAATTACCGGCGTTGGTACTTTGCGGCACATCTAGATCTGGACGATGCAGTTGGATTCGCAAACATGAAACTTGGCAAGGCTAACCGACGGACTCGCAAAGCACGGAAGGCAGCGAAAAAAGCAGCCTCGAAGGAACCTGAGAATGAGGACCAGACGCTCGAGAGCCTCGAGGGCGATAACAGCCTGGAGGCTGCAGAGTACCGATGGAAGACACGCATGAACCGTATGTCACAGCACGATCGTGTCCGGCAAGTGGCTTTATATCTGCTTTGCTGGGGTGAAGCCAATCAGGTCCGCTTTATGCCCGAATGTCTGTGCTTTATCTACAAGTGTGCCCTCGACTATCTTGCGACTCCCGAATGTCAAAATCGAGTGGAGCCAATTGAGGAGTTCACCTACCTTAATACTGTTATCACCCCATTGTACCAGTACTGCCGAGATCAAGGGTACGAGATTCTGGATGGCAAGTATGTCCGACGGGAGAAAGATCACAGCAGCGTCATCGGTTACGATGACATCAACCAACTTTTCTGGTATCCTGAAGGCATTGAAAGGATCGTTATGGAAGACAAGACCAGACTAGTGGATTTCCCAGCCGGGGAGCGCTATCTCAAGCTCAGCCAGGTGACGTGGAAGAAGGTGTTCTTCAAGACTTACAAGGAAACAAGATCTTGGTTCCACTTACTCGTCAATTTCAATCGCATCTGGGTCATCCATCTGACCGCTTTCTGGTTCTACACATCCCACAACTCGCCAACATTTTATACCAAGCACTACCAACAGCAACTAAACAATCCACCGAAGCCTGCAGCTAATTGGTCCGCTGTTGCACTCGGAGGTACCCTTGCTTCTTTAATCATGATCCTTGCTACCGTCGCTGAATGGATGTACGTTCCGCGTCGATGGGCTGGCGCGCAGCATCTGACAAAGCGTCTGTTTTTCCTCATCGGCATCTTCGTCATTAACATCGCGCCCAGTGTTTACATCTTCGGCGTCAGCGACTCAACTAAGATCGCCCATATCCTCGGTGTTATTCAGTTCTTCGTCGCCCTTGCAACGTTCATCTTCTTCGCCTTCATGCCACTTGGTGGCCTGTTTGGTAGCTACATGAAGAAAAACTCCCGGCAATACGTGGCGAGTCAGACCTTCACGGCAAGCTTTCCTCACCTAAAGGGCAATGACATGTGGATGTCTTATGGTCTCTGGGTTCTGGTGTTCACAGCCAAACTCTCTGAGTCCTACTTCTTCCTGACATTGTCGTTCCGTGACCCTATTCGCATTCTGTCCGAGATGAAGATCAGCAGATGCGTGGGTGATAAAATCATCGGCGACGTTCTGTGCAAACAGCAACCAAGGATCACACTCGGTCTTATGTTTGTCACTGACATCTGTCTGTTCTTCCTCGACACATATCTTTGGTACATCGTCTTCAATTGTGTATTCTCCGTGGCTCGGTCTTTTTACCTCGGTGTTTCCATCTGGACTCCTTGGAGAAACATCTTTTCTCGCCTGCCAAAACGAGTCTACTCTAAGATCCTTGCAACGACCGACATGGAAATCAAATACAAGCCTAAGGTGCTGATATCTCAGATCTGGAACGCCATAGTGATCTCCATGTATCGAGAGCACCTCCTGGCCATCGATCATGTCCAAAAGCTGCTTTACCACCAGGTGCCTTCGGAACAGGAAGGCAAGAGGACCTTACGTGCACCGACATTCTTTGTGTCTCAAGAGGACCATTCATTCAAGACGGAATTCTTTCCAACACAGAGCGAGGCCGAACGCCGCATCTCATTCTTTGCCCAATCACTGTCCACGCCCATCCCGGAGCCGTT